CACATGGCAGAAAAATATCTAGAAAAAATCAAAGATTAGTTCGACCATAAACACCTTTCATTAAACTATAGCAAAACCTGTTACTTGCCATTTTGTAATAACAAATCTACACTTCCTCAATTCAATCAAATAACTATCCAAATCTCCTTCAACAAGTCCCCAGCTAGGGGTTCTCATAGATCCTTATTAGATGGGACTTTCATATTAAGTACCTATTGTAGAAAAATTGCAATGTATACTATACCAGTTTCGTCAGCTGAAAGATAGACTTGACATTGAACAAAAAAATCATTCACTTCAGTTTGGTACGAAGCCATTTGATATAACCACATTATCAAGTATAAAAGTATATACTTGATAATGTGGTTACACCCGAAACCGGCCGTATAAATAAAATTAACTAGTGGTAATTAGACAAAAGTGTTTTATTCATCTCATCAAAGTGATTATAATAATACTTTGGATGAATTGGATAAGTTTACCAAGCTTTTACATCGACCGCTAAATGAGAAATGACTGAAATATCTAAAAATAGCAGCTTTTCTATTTTCATTTAAAAAAATGTTTGAAATCGGTTTTTCTGTTAACCATCTGTCGCACCCCTAGGAACGACAACCCTCGGAAGGACTAACGAGGTCTTACCTTTTAACGTGCGATTCCTAATATCATATACAGATTCAAAATTTGTGGATTCATTGTCAACACGAATTCTTCTTCCATGCTTTTCTTTGTGTCGACAATAGCAAACATCATCTACATATTAGATCCAATTCAGTAGGAAATAACTCCTCAAGTGGTACCAGTTCAAATAGCCATTAAACTGTACAGTCCGATTCGAGGTGCCTTGAATATTATGCACCTTTTGATATAAAGATTCGAAAACAAGGAAGATTTGAATAAACATAATTGATATGCACGAATTAGTTTACATTTTATTACAATTGTCTCCAAACAGCTGCCAAAAGAATTGCCTCAATTTGAAATGAATGTCTGTCTGTGTGTGATATGTTCACAAAATATTCATTTGATCAAGAATCCAGAACACATACAAGACTTTTGAGATAATAGACAGGATTCTTTAAAATTGGCAATTTAACAAAGGGTTGGTTTGGGAATGCATGAGAAAAAGATATAAATAACGTATAATTTTAATGAACAAAGTTGCTAACACTAGTTACAATGGAATAATTTTTAATTATTCAAATATCCGACAAGGAAAAAACCAGATGCTTTTTATATTGAATTGAAGAGACATAGATGAATCAAGAGGAACTTGACAAAACTTACTATGCTTTGTGGGTATTTGAGAAATCACTTTTTTCTCCCTCTCCCTCTACTGCACCACTGGAATGATTCTTCAAATCCAATTTAATCAAAACAAGTCATTTGTGAATGCAAACATACCAAACTTACTAAGTTTCATCATAATTGGCGGAATTATTTCCGAGTAATTAATAAAATTCCGATTTCTTGTCAAATCTATGACGCTGTAATTTTCGAAAACGATGCATACGAATATATGAAATTTTTTTCATGAAATATGACAAGAAATCGCACCCCGAATATTCTGAAAGTAGTCACTCATTAGTTTTATTCACATAATTAGAGTAATAATACATTCGTAAATATAACGAAGATATGTTATCTGTTCGTATTTCCTAAAAAGAAAGCTGGTTCTCACAATTTGTCAAAATAAATTAGACATTAAGATGACCCTGTACAGTTTTATTTTATAATAACGATGTCTCTTTCAAAAGTACGCTCCATTTAATGTAGTTGTTTTTCGTGACCATAACAGTATACCATAAAGTAATGAAGTACGTAGTACAATTCTTGAATCCTAAATAAAAACTTCCAGTCAACGATTTTCTTATTTTGTTATTTAACGTGCTTGTTGAAGGAAGGTCATATACAGTTCTTTTGAGATTTTCAACAGCACAGCAAAGCGTACCCCACGCTTTGCTATGCTGAGAGTTCTAATTATTTATAGTTCTGTATATTTCTTATAATAAATTGTTGTATTCTTCGATTTGAGACAAGTGAAAAAACTCCAAAACATAACATGATTAGATGTAATTATAATTCATCGAAAGATTATGCCTAAAATTAAGAAATTTGGTGAGACTCTCACGAGGAGTTCTTGGTTTCCCGTGGGTAAAAAATTAACTAATAATAATAATAGATTATATTGTTACGGGTAAGTGAATAAGTACGTACAACAGAAAAACAAACAAGCACAATTTACTCGCCCAACAACCTAACATACGGCAGAATTCATTATCAAATACAGCCACTTGTGAAGTAACCCAATCAGAGTCCGCTCTTTCATTCAACTAAAGCAAGGTAACGATAAAAAACGTTTTTAATGATGATTCACTCTATAGAAATATTGTAGTTATAGCTTTTGTGAGATTTTCTCTAAACAGTTTTACAAAAAGGCAACACGTGTTTCGCCATAGAATGGCTTCTTCACGCGTTTCTTTAGAGTAAAGACATACCTGTGGACGCCATTTTATGGCGAAACGCGTATTTCTTGAATGCTTTATGGTTTTTTATTAAGTATCGGCCGATTCCATCAAATATTTTGCAAAGAAAAGTCCGACTTTATTCCCCCCTGGTCATAAAAGAGGCATAAAGTGAAGTAATTTTTTCCAGGTAGAGATCAACTGTCAAAATCTCAAATTTTTTAATATCAACAATGTTCTAGATGTTTTCCCTCCCTTCAATTCTTGTCTGATTTCTCTGTCAGTCTAATCATTGGCGGTACTGTATAATTTTGTCATACAGCACCTGTTTGCACCACAATTTGGATTTAGGTTCTACTTCAAAGTTGACCTTGTACCAGGCGTTGCTTTTGCCTTTGGGGTAGATACCATCCCTTTTTGGGGGTGAAATTTTTTTACAGGAAATACATCGGAGAATGGATATATTGACTAATTCCAACCAACTTGTGCAAACGGAGTAATAGCTTGTTGAAGGTGGGTTCTTATTCGTCAATTGCCAAAGGTGAAAGTTTGAATATGAAGGTACCAAAAACACATATTGAAAACCTTTTTTCAATTCCTAATTTTTATAAAACTTATAAGTTATAACGTTAACAATGTTGACTTTTCCGGCAACAAAAAAAATTAAAATCGCGTAGTAATTACCATACCTGTACCTGTAGTATGCTTCATAAGTTTGACTGGTTTGATGTGCTTGGTTTTGTGAAAAAAAGAGTTTGAAGTGAAAAGAGTATTTTTGTAATTTTGCCTAAGTTGCCGTCCAAAATACTTGAAAACTTTCTATTTCAGAATTATTGCATACACACTATGGCAATATTTTGAGTATAATTAATAGTTTTTGACTTATTTTAAAGAAAAATATTTTTTTTCAATTTCACAGTTCACTTTATTCATGTACCTTCGTTCATGTTTTCGTAATTTTGCCAAAATTGCTCAAAAACGTTCAACCGCAAAATTGATTGAATACATATTATAGCAATATTTTGCAATAGTATCTGAGTTATTCCGTAGAAAAGGCAATTTTTTTGCAAAATTACAAAAATGCTCCTTTCACTTCAAGCTCAATTTATTTCATAATTAAGCTCTTTAAACCGAGTAAACTTCTAGAGCACACAAATGAAGTAAATTAAAAATAATACCGATTATTTTTCCGTTGGGATGGTAATTGGGGGGTAATTATTTACGTCATAGTTCACTTAGTTTTGTTGCTAGGGACTTTCATAAAAATTAAAATTGAAAATTTTCAAGCACTGTGAGATTCCTCAGCGAAATAAATTGTGTTTTTCATTACTTCACATTGAATCATTCATTTTTGGCAATTGCCTGATAAGAATCAACCTTCAACAAACTAGTACCCCCTTTATACTGGGTCTACAGACACCTTAAATCCTCTTATTTCTTTATAAGCTACATTTTTTTACTAAGAACTATTTTTTCAATGAATTTCTCAATTTTTAAGTAATTCGTGAAAACCGTTCGAAAACGTGGGTTAATTGGTTGAAAAATTCACTTTCTCTCGTGAATAAGTTGAAAAGAATTGAATATTAGTGATGTTTGGCAAATTTATACGCGAAAAATGTCATTACTGGACTTTATGAGACATTCTCAAGAGTACGATAAATCTAAAGATACTGATAATTTTTGAAAATCAGCATAGAACAGAAATGTATATAAATAATACCCCAAGGCCTTCTCGATTTCTTTGATAAAACATTATAAAACAACACAAATTTTCAAACACTCCTGAATAAAATGAATGAGCATTATGTGATTCCAAAATATGAAACAAAGCTTGATGCAATTAAATTAATATACAAATGAACTTATTCTCGTTATTTCGAATCTATATTGATTCTGAATCATTTCAATATTTTCCAACTATTTTGACTGTACTATAGAAATCCATGCAACATATAAATTCAATTATAATGCTTTTTGAATGAGCTACTGGCAGTCTGATGAACTACTGTCGTCATATATTAACTAAGCCATATATCGAGTGTTTTTTGAGGAACGAATTCACAAATACATGTTATGAATCTTGGAAAATGTCACTATGTCATCTCTAGTGTCAAATTAAAGAAACGGTGTATGCCAAGTTTTCGTCTGTGCCTTTTCCAAGAAATTGAAGCAGTATTTCAAATATTCCTACCATTATCATAAATTGAATCGAGAATATTTTATATGATGTTATTAAACCATTAAATACATGTCACTTGTCATCCAGTTATAAAAGAACGAAATTACATGATGTCATCAATTTTTCTTTATGATTCATAAAACGTAAGTTTTTTATTCTCGCCTTTATTTTATTATTCAAACTTTGACAGCGAAGTTCTCAATAAATTTCGATTTATTTTGATAAAAAATAAAATATTTTTGTCATAAATTATAAATGGCAGAGAATTTTGTAAAATACTTCGAATGCCCCTGGGAATCTTATATTATTCAAAACTACAACAAATTGACATATTTCAATATAATTTTCTTTTTCAGGTGAAAATGGTTCCATTCTCAGTCCACAATAACCAAACTACTAGAAACATCTCCAATGGGTTCTAACGAGTCATCCACCATGGAACTAGCCGCAGCGATGTCAGATGAGAAGCCGTCGGCTTCCCTGCCATTGCAATCCAAAATTGTTGATTCTGTTGATGTTATTGTTGAAAATCTTTCAAGTACAAACTACAAAGACTTGAACGAACTGCGTGATATTTCTAAACCAGAGCCAAAATCAAACGAAGAAGCAATAGACATTAGTGATGAAAGGACAGAAATGGAAGAAGAAACCGGCGAAGATTCCGCCACAGAAAGCCTCCCGCCTACTACCGAGGAGTTGGCAGAAGAACCTCACGATAGGTCAGATGGATCTGATTCCGGCCTAGGTTCGGAACTATCTGAAGAACGGCCGCAAGAGAACGCCGCAATCATCGAGAGCGACAGCGAAACATCCTTCTTGTATAGATTGAACGAAGGAACTATAACTAATACCCAGTTTGAGGAATTCGCTAGTCAAGTAGCACTTCCAAGGTGTGAGGAAGATTCGCAAATTGAAAGTGACATAGGTGACATTCTGAGTGGTACACAATCAAAATCCCCCAAGCCATCGAAGAGTTCTCTGAAGAGAAAATTACCCACAGATGACCATGAACAACCGGAGGCTAAGAAACGACGTGGGATTACGTTTGACAGCGTCACGGTCTTTTATTTTCCACGGGCGCAGGGGTTTACCTGCGTTCCTTCACAGGGAGGATCGACACTTGGTATGGGAGCGCAACATAGCCACTTTAAAAAGTTTTCATTATCCGAACATGCCTTGGAGCAGCGAAGGATACATCGCCAACTGCTGCAACAACTCCGATCGGAAAGGAACGCGACGGTAGGCACTGTTGTGTCGTCAAGCGAAGAAAGTGACAGTGAAGATGAACCTAGCGACGCCTCGGAATCGGAGATGGATCTCGACAACTATTACTTCTTGCAGCCGGTCCCTACGAGGCAGAGAAGGGCCCTACTGCGCTCCGCAGGGGTAAGGAAAATCGACGCTTTAGAGAAAGACGAATGCCGAGACATACGATCGTCTCGAGAGTTTTGCGGCTGCGGATGCAAAGGTTACTGTGATCCGGATACGTGTTCGTGCAGCCAGGCTGGTATCAAATGCCAAGTGGACAGATTGAATTTTCCGTGCGGCTGTTCGCGAGACAATTGCGGCAACTCCAGCGGACGAATAGAGTTCAATCCCGTACGGGTCCGTACCCATTTCATACACACTTTAATGCGTCTCGAGCTCGAGAAAGAGAAGGAGGACATGAAGTCTGATAATAAGGAAACGGATGCGATTGATAACGATCGGCTAAACTCGAGCGAAAAAGAAGTGGCAAGTAAATCAAGTGTAAATAAATTCAATAGCAACTTGTTGAGGGACGTCACTTTGGGCGCCAACGTCGAAGTTGAGAACTGCGTGCACATCGGCAGCTATACCAATCTACATTATGGCGCCCCGGGGGAGGGGCCGGGACACAATCCCCCGGGGTTCTCTAACCTACCGGATCGAGCCGACTCTCTGGATTTGTATACTTTTCGCGAGAACTGTTACGCCGAAGTGGAAAATTCCGCGGTTGAAAGGAAACAGGCGTTTCCAGTCGCGCAGGGGTTTCACTTCCCCGATCCCAGATTCTCCGATGTCGGCTTCCCAGCTAGTGGTTCTCCTTACCCCTCTCCGTCTAATCAATACACTCAGCCGTATCCGAGCAGTTTCGGCGACTTCTCACCGGTATTCAACCCGTACGGGGGCATCTATCCGCCCGATTTCGCAACAAAACCGATAGAAGGGTCTTTCCCGCAGACATATGAACACTTTTCTAGTGATACTTTTTCAGCTGGTAACGTGGATTCCAAAGAAAACCAATACACAAGTTTAAATTCCGTAGGGGCCAATAACAAAATTGAATCATTCACTGACCTATTGACAGGAAAGTATAACTCTTATTCGGGGGCTGAAGAGAGCGCCAATTTTAACTCTGTGAGCACTGGTCAAACTTCGGCGAGTAACGAAAAAACAGAAAAAAGTTCCGAAAATGCTGAAAATGCCATGGGCGAGTGTGATGAAAATTTCGGAGAAATTATCAAGAAGTCTATGGTTGAAACTGTTTCAGCATAATTTGAATGTTTAAAATATAAATATTATTACGTTCCAATTTTGCTTGTATTTTATTCCATTGTAATTTCAGTTTTTTTGCTTGATATAATTGATAATTTTCAGCTAATCTTTTAAATATTTTACAGATTCTTTTAGGGATTTCAAATCAATTTATATCATATTAGACAATGGAAGTCCAAACTGATGAAATGCTTCTAAAAATTGTCATACACATCAGTGTTAATTAAAAATATTAGAGACGTTATGGAAAAATTGATTCACTTTGAGAATTAGCTTTGCATATTTTTTGTACGAATAAGTAATGATATTCTAAGAAAAATTGGAATTTAAAGAATATAGAAGTACCAAAGGCTGCATTTCGCAATTAAAATCACTGTGAATTAATAGTAGGATCGATCTGGTCAAGTGAATTTCAGGTTCTTATCAACTTAAAGTTTGCTCTGCGAGCAGAAAGAACTTCTGTAGACTTGAAATCTAATATTCACTTTTTCTCGGGATCTGCTCAAATGGAATCGTTTTTGGCGATGAAATAAAGTTTAAGGTGAAAAAATATGCACTATTATCGGTTTTTTCCTATATAATATTTTTAAGAAGAAATGTATCCCTTTGCTCTCCTCAACCAATATTTAATTGCTTTCTCTGTTAGTTTCCTGCTTTGCGAAACTTTAGGACTGCAGCCTCTGAAATTCAATGCAAATCGAGGAGAGATTGTGCACGATTTTGAAGGACCACCACCCCTCTAGCCGAGAGTAGATGAACCAGTCAGTTGTTTACAAAGAATCAGCTGTCTCGTATGTAATGGCGGACAAACAAGTTTGTAGACGTTTAGTATTATTCAATTTTCGTTAGTGAAAACGGAGTTATTAGTTTTTTTACTTCTGGTATTTTGTCTTCCTAGGAACCTAGGATTGCGGTAGTTCGATTGAATATGGACTCTCCTTTGCCATGAGCATGCTTTTGATAAATGAACAGCTATAATAAACTGGTCCATGTCACCTCTACGGAATAGAGAGATGGACTGCTTTCTATGATTTCGAGATGAAACGGGCAAACGCTTCATTTTGAAGAAAATGGGCTAATCTCTCTACTATGAATATTCTTAACATCTTAACCTAATAATTTCATGGTATTTTTTAGATACAAAATGCCTACCGTTCACAAAAATAAAGACAATATTTAACGTTCTAACTAGAGTTAAGAAAGCAGTTGTAAATAATGAAAAGCTGGCGGCTGACCTTCATGGCATACCGAAAAATATGCTCAAACGACAGTTACTGACAGGAAAACGAACAAGCTGCATCTATGACCAGAGGGGTCTCTGGGTACTGAAGTTGAATTAAAAATGGTTCTACAAATCCTCAAATTGCAAGGAAATGGGTTTGCACCATATAAATACACAAAAAGATATTAACGAGTGTATCTGATATAAATAAAAAAAGAGGTGAATTAGCGGACCAAACACTCAAAAATGGGGCAAAACCGCTTTTACTAGGCTATTGGCCTCGTCAGCGCAGTCAAGTGCAAGGATGGGTAACACTTGCTTGCCGAAAACTACACATATGCACGGAGTCACTAACAGGAGCCGACTGCACAATTATTGTGGATCCCGTTAGGAGACCTCTCATGTATGGGCAACAACCAACGTAGTCATTTATATCACCTGCGTGACATCCGGGTCTGAATTATAAATATTACAAATACACAGAAAGATATTAACGAATGTATCTGTTGAAAATAAAACAATACCAAGTACACGTGTTTCTGGCTATTGGCCTCGACAACGCGGTGTAGCCAAGTGTAAGGATGAGCAACACTTCTTTGCCGAACACGCATATGTATGGAGTCACCAACAGGAGCCAACTGCACATTTGTGGTTCTATCATATATAGGCAACAATCAACCTGTGCGGTTGGCTCCTGTTGGTGACTCCGTGCATATGTATAGTTTTCGATAAACAAGTGTTGCACTTTGCTACACCTAGCTGACAAGGCCCATAGCCAGAAACACGTGTCCGCGTTTTTCATCAAAGAGTGATACTTCTGAGAAGTACCAACGATGATGATTAAACTTACTCAGGGCTTCTTGGCCGGATCACTCAACAGTTTCATACTCCTTAAGTCTCTTCAAGAACCATACATTTTGGTTTGGTGCCTTCACCACCAGACTACATGAAGCCATGGTTTCACATACATAACCACAATGAATGAATAAACTTCTTGAAGTGCTCGTTAATCTTTAGCGCTAATTTTGAACTGGGATTGCAACAAACACATTTTTGATGAGTAAATAGTTCTAGCCATCTACTTTACTTGATTCATCGCTCCACGAGGTTTGATTTTAATCTTTTTCTTTAATTATCTCCTCCTAAGAAAATAAAAGACAGTTCAATCAGTCCCCGGTAATCGGCGCGTATAATGGTTTTCTGCAGTTCTTTATTCAACAATTTTTTTTTGCTGTATTACAGAAATGTTGTGTGACGATATCAGTGTATGTTTTACTGGAACATTGGGATATCAGGGCTATTTGTGATATGTGGGATTTTTGTTTCAAACACACATTTCAAAACCAGTTCATAAACGTGATGGCGGCAAGCAAAATGTACTAATTTCATGTCAAGTTTCTGTTTTGAAAGTACACAAATAATGTTTAATCGACCTGTATTAGACGGTGGTTTTACATCACATTATTTGTACTTTGCCATCGAGGTTCCAATCATAAAGTGCGTCTAACACAGCTTCAGCTTGGATCTTGCCCGGAAGAGCTCTCCAGTTTGGGTACAGCAAATTTTTCCTTTTTTCCAAATACAGTTGAGGTAATAATTTGCCATTCCAGGTCACCATTACAGACAAATGATTCTGAAAAATCTGATTTTATAGTTTCCGCTCGGTCTTTTCTAATCTGTATGCGAATGCGTTGAATGGAAGATTTCTTTATCAGAAAATCATCACATCTAAGGTCTAAAGTATATAAACAGAATCCCTTATACTCATTTGACATATATATAAAGCTACAACTAATTTATGTGTAGTAAGGTCTTTCCTCCCTCTTTTTATAGTAGTTCCAGGACTTACTGTTTGAGAGGTAGATGGCAAGGGTTCCTCGAGCCTTTTATCAGATCTGGTACTTTGAAAGTCATCTTCTTGCGCTTGTATAAAATGTTGAGTAGTAGACAATGACGATAAACTTTCCTTTTTCTCTATAGATATGAAAGTTATCTTCTTCAATTTTCATCCATTCCAAACCATCAGCGTGTTGAATGAATTTTCTAAATTGTTTTGAAACTTCTCCTCACGGCGCTTGTGAACATCTTGAATTTTTTTTGAATATTTTTGCAATACCCTCCAAGCATGATGAAAATCCACGACTTTTTCTTACACGGCTGAGTACATCTCTGGTAGGGATTCTGGTTTTCCCTCAATATATAATGCACTCTCGAATGACAAGATTTGCGCATTCACTAACAGTCAATTGAACTTCGCGAATGCTAATAAAAAGTAATGCAAGAACTTGACGTTTAGACAACTTTGGTAATTTATGTCACCAACTAATTAATTTTTTTTATTGCTTCTTAATCCCAATGGTTAGTTGTTGTATTTCCGTCGGGTATCTGCCACACGTACCTACAAAGTCGTAGGTCTACATGACAGGCAAGGGGTAAGATGTTTTTCACCTGAACCTGGAGCATGTTATATGCACCCTCTCCGAAAGAGTTATTATTATTCCGACTCCCACCCCGGAGTATGTGTTTGTGGAGTTGTTTCCTACCTTTGTCTCTAGGTAGCGCAGTGGACATCCCACTGAATCAACTGCAGAAAGAGTTCATGACTGACTAGCTGGATTTATATTTACTTGGTCGTAATACTCAGACGGTGCACACCTTCTGAAAAGACCATACCCGGTACTGATGAAGGGACAAGTACCCCGAAATCGGTCTATCGGTTGGTCGTATCGATCAAATGAAATCAATTTCTGCTTTTCATAGTGAGAAATAACTTGCGACGAATCTTCCAAATCGAAGACGTTGCACAGGTGTCTGATGGTTTTACTTCAACTCTCTGGGCGGCATTAACTGTGTTAGTTGTTATTTTTCCGTTGGATATCTGCCACACGTACCTACAAAGTTGTATGTCTACATGAGAGGTGTTTTCACCTGAACCTGAAGCATACATATACCATTTGTTTTTGCGGGAATTTCTCCATTTTATTATATGTATATTGATTAAGGCTGCTAAAGGAAATTATTTTGGAGTCTACAGGGTGGCTCAAAAAAGTGTGACATATCGAAGTTGTGGAAACTAAATAACATCGAAATATATAAAAAGCATCCCTTCGAATTCTGACCAAGCATAAAAGAGGTTTTGTGCTATTGATTTCGATGAAACCCGTTTCTCAATATCATACAGAGTTTTCAAAAATCATTGTCACTTTTTTATAGTTTCAGACAAAGATAACTTTGTTATTTCAAACAGAACACTCTGTATTTTTTTGGTCTGAACAATATAAAATTTAATTATATTTCATTTCGGGGTTCCCTACATCCAACCTAAATAATTTTTCAGACATTGGCTTCTTCAAATAGTAGTTCTTATTTCAATGCATTCTTTGAATCATGATAGCTTTGAATCGGCATTAATTCAACTTGTTGAAAAAATTCTTATTAACAGTTATTATGTTTTACGTTATTCAAGACTTTCACTAAATTATCACCGTTGAAAATGAAAACTAATCCTATTCAAGAGCGAATAGATATGATTTAGACGATTTGAGAGTGTTTAGAGAATTGTCTTTTGGCGTCGAGGGTGTATGCCCAAAAATATCTTAACCGGAATCATCCAATCAAGTTGGTTTTCAAACGATTGCTACATGAATTTCGTAGGATTGGAAGTGTAGCTTATGAAAATGCAAGTGGACCAAAACATATCATTGGAAATCATAGAAACCCTTCATATGAGTCAACGTAAGATCGGGAAAGATACAGGCATAAGCAGACGGAGCATTTCTAGGGTAATAAAAAATACAAATTTAACCCGTACCGTATTCAGATGCACCAGGAATTATATGAAATCGAGTTTTGTCTATGGGTTCTGGACAAGTTAAGTGAGGATGAACATTTTTTGGATTCCATTTTCCGATGAATCTACTTTTCAAATCAATGGCTTAGTGAACAGAAACAATTACCATTATTATAGTGAATCACCACCACTCTGAATCACCAGAATAGATGACCTGTTAACGTGTGGGGAGGAATTATAAGTACACAAGTTGTAGGACCATACTTTTTTAATGGAAACTTGAATGGTTCATTTTTTTTACAATTTTCACGAGATGATCTGCCTGAACTTCTGGAAAATGTGTCGCTGAATATCAGACAACGGATGTGTTTACACTTGGATGGATCTCCGGCACATTTCAAATTCAGTGTCTGACAGTTTTTGAATGTGTGCTTTCCGAATAAATGAATTGGTAGGGGAAGACCACAAAATTGATCAGCGAGATCGCCAGATTTGACTTGAGGTTTACTACACTCCTCCAACCACACTGAAAAATACAAAGGAGATAATAAGAGCTGCTTTTCGAAGAGTGACGCCTCAAATGTTATTAAATGTTAATTGAATGTTTTAGAGAGAGTGGATCTTTGTATTCTGTAGGATAGTCGTTATTCGAGCAATTACTTTGAAATAAACACATTTGTGTTTCATATTTTGTTGTTGTTTCAGTTGAATAATAGAAAACATTGTATAGTCTGTTAAATGAACTACTGTCAGAATATGAATATAAATGATAATTTCATTTTAGTGAATAGTAAATATTTTCGATGAAGTTAAGTATAACAACTGTCAATTATATGTTTGTTTGAAGGTGGTTGACAATGTTTCGTGGTGTATTTCATCAGTTCGGAGTTCCATTGTCTATTATAATATAAATTGATTTGAAATCCCTGAAAAAAATAAAAGATTTTAACCGAAAATAAAAATTATATTAAAACAAAAAAACTGAAATTACAAGGAAATAACATACAAGCTACAACCAGAAAATGAAAAATTGAAATATCAATAAAAGCTGATAATTAAAAAATATTAACAAAAATAAAAAATAAAAATTGAAAGATTCCAAACCAAGTTATGTCACGACGTTTCGATTGTTAGTATCCACAATTGTCTTCGGGTGATGAGTTATTTATTATTTATTCATAATTCTTGCAGCATACGTCACGGTCATGTATTCACGGCGAAGATCGAGAGGCTGTTCTCCTTCTTCGATAAGTAAACTTTCCACTGGACTACTACGGTATGCTCCTAAGGCTATCCTAATGGCGGCATGTTGAATGACATCCAGCTGTTTAAGTGCTGACTTATTTGCAGTAGATTAGGCAGTACATCCATAGTCTATTTTAGATCTTATAAACGCCCGATAGATGATTAACAAAGTATTGCAGTCCGCTCCCCAGGTGTGATTTGACAAGACCTTCATTAGATTCAAACCATTTTGACAAGATATCTTAACATTGCGAATATGAGCGTTCTAATTCAGTTTATAGTCAAATCTGATCCCAAGAAACTTTGTTTCCTCAACGAATTCTAACTGCTGTCCATTAAGTGTGAAGTTGGAGTTTGCCGGATTGTGGCAGTTTCGTGATAAATATATAAGGGATGTCATCTGGCCTGTGTGATTCCTAACACGGTTGCAGAATCATCCCAGCTTCAACCAGATAAATCCTCGAGAAAAATACCTGGTCGAGGCAGGAATCGAACCCACGGTCTTCCGATCGTGAGTCGAGCGCACTACCACCGCGGCCAATTCCAAGTGGTTCAAACCATAAGTGGTGAAAATATCGTAAAGTTTTGCGAAATCTCTATTTTCTCCATCATAACAATCTAAATTAAAATCACCGCATACAAAGATATCAGAGTTCGGCTTATAAATTGCATTCATGACATCACAGATTTTTGAAAAAAATGTTAGTAGATTTCCCATTGGTGACCTATAGCAGCAAAGTACAATTGTGAATTTTGATTCTATTTTACAAGTTATACCACATATTTCGAAATCTTTTTCAACACAGAAATCATTCAATATCATATCTTTGACATTCAATTTGTTGTTGGTATATATAGCAACTCCCCCACAAGTGGTATTGGTCCTACAGAAGTAAGTACTCAAAGAAAAGTTCTCTATATGAAATGACTCAGCGTAATCTTTTTTAAACCAAGTTTCAGTTAAGCATATGAAATTTACATTGAAATTTGTTATATCTACGATTAAATTATTGATTTTTTGGTAATTCACACGAGAAATAGGCTTGGATCAAATGTTACATGTTTGTTGTCGGACTCCTCCTCCTGAATAAAAAACGACTGATACAAGCTCCATACGGCCACATTTCAGGTTTCATTGCTTTTCTGAAGTTCTCTTCTGAGATTGTCACTTTGAAACTAGAATACTGCCCAGGATATTTAGAGGTAAGCTCTTCCACAAGACTTCCGGAAAATGTAGTTTCCGTAGTTCTGTTAGTGATTCCGTAGATATTGTTTTATCCACTCTGGAAACGTGTAGTACTGCGTTTTTTGGAACACCACGCACGGTGCTATACTGACAAAGGCAGGAAATTGGATCTGTTAACCGTTCAGAAGTTGTCAACGATGAAGCTATTCGTACTGCAGTTTTGGGGCACGTTGGACTAATGAAAAATTCGCAATCTTTTACTAAGTTATCTTGAGAATCAGGAATCAGTTGTACAAATGTTTTCAGGATTCTTCATAAGTACAAATTTCACCCATATAAGATTAGACTAGTTCATGAATTTAACAAAGATGATTTCGATAGACGTATCGATTTTTGTGAACGTCTTACTGAACGGATCAACTTTCTTTAGAATCTCTTATATAAAATTTGTTTTTCGGATGAATGTATACCGTCAAGTTCATACCCAACGACCTCAAAAACTGAATGTTTGCGCAGGAATTTAAGGTGACCACATCATAGGACCTTTTTTTATCGATGATAATTTGACTAGTGATAAATATTAGGATATGTTGGAGAATCGAATAATACCGTGCATCAATAGGACAATTGAGGAGGATATAAATTGTGCACCTCCTCATTATGCAGCTCCAATGCGACAATTTTTGGATGATCATTTTCCTGATCGCTGGATTGGCAGAAGAGGTCCAACAGAATGGCCACCAAGGTCTCCGTATCTCACTCTCGAAGATATTTTGCTATGTGGTTATCTGAAGTCTAAAGTGTATGAGATAGAATCAACAACATTAGAAGATTTGAGAAACAATATTATGAGGCATTGCAGAGAAATAACTCACGAGATTCTCAACCATGTGAGGGCGGCAATGAAAGCTCGTTTGTACCATTGTATGGAAGTTGGTGCAAACGTTTTTGATGTGCGAACCGGTGGTTCAAACCGAAAGGCCGGACGATCTATTTTCACTTCCTATCGTTCAACCCATGTTAGGAATCACACGTTAAAAAGTAAGACCTCGTTTGTCTTCAGCTCGCACAAGTTTCGACTTTTGACTTACCTATCATGTCTAATAACAAGAATTGTCATTATTAATTTCGTATTATTGAATAAAAATTATTAATTTCTATGATTATTTTCAAAACAGAGGCATTTGACTTTCAAACCCGTATCGCCTGAAAAGATGAAAAGAAATCGATTTAGTTTTTTTTATAAAATAACATTTTGATATTACATTACGTTTATTATGAATATCATTTATTTGCTATATGTAAAGTTATCAGGGACTTGAAATAGTGAAACTTTGCTTTCATTAAGTACGTTATTACTCTCACATCGGATATTTTACTCGTAGTAGATTAGATAGAGTTATATGAATATACTTCATAGAATTCCATCTTTTATATTATCAAGTATCTAATCATCATTCGGAAAGGCGTGTCAAATAAAAATTCCCAAATGTGGCCTCTGAAAAGTAATCCTCTAGATCTAGATAATCTTCAATAATAAAAATCAAACTTTTTGGTTTCGTTTTCAATAGGCATTGATTGTCTACACGGAACAGTGTGCCAATTTTGTTACAGAGTATTTCGACGAGTGATCTTATTTGTTCTCAAAGGAAGTTCTTGAAAAATAGTAAGTAATCAGTCAACATGTAGAAACATTAGTTTGTCAGAGGCAATTAGACATATTGAAATATCTACAACTAAGACCCGACTCGCATAGATAGCAGAACATATGTTCCTTTTTAAATTGAAAGGGTACATTTTTAGGAGAAATTATTTTTTGGGAAATAAAGTTTTTGACCTTCTACTTCTCCATCTTAATACGGGAATTTTCCAAAGAAAGGAAGAAAGCAATCAAATTCCAAAATTAACTCTATACAAAGGTGTGTAGATCATGCAAAGAAGAACTTTCAGACACGAACTGGAGAAACCCCTTTTGAAACATCTATTTTCATATAAACATTGAATTCGAAACAAATACTTTTATATGAACGCTGAATTATACGAAAAACAATTTTCTCTATTCCGTTTATATTCCAAACATTCGTAATGGGATCGAATCAGATATCATTCACAGGATTCCTACACAATATGAACAAGATTCCTATAGCTGGGATTAATTCAAATAAACGATTGAATGTTATTTACGTACTGTCATTGATGACATATTGGTGGATTCAACCGATTTCGTGACAAAAAGTCGTAATTATGAACGAATTGAGTGTTTTTTTTTTCTACTGAAGAGCCGTTAAGGCAAGTGTCTCACTGCGAAACTTTGAATGTCTGTCTAGCAGTGAGGATGAGTGGTCAATATAAGTGAAATATGTGCCTTTATAGTGTCACATTGGTTTGTTCATGAAAAAGGTACCCGTTTTTGCCTGAAGGTCGTGCTTTTTGAGGGCTGGAAGTTTCTCCTTCCGAAACATTCGGAAGCGTTCTACAACATTCCAGAAAACCCCTGAACATTCTAGAATATCGTGAAATGTTCAGGAATAATGTGAAACGTTCGGGAACATCCCAAATCATTATGGGACTATCAAGGAAGTTATATGTTGTGTTATCCCCCATCCATGAAAAAGGTTTCAGAGATAGAGTCTCGATATGTTATCAGTTTTTTCTCCTCTTTTCGGACGATAATCGTCTCTCTCCAGGAGATGAAAATTCCACGACAAATATCGTCTTGCTCTGGTGGTCGAAAAGGGTTATATCAGGCTTATTAGCTTGTATGAGGCGGAGGGTGGGGAACGAATAGTCTCAATAAATTCGACACTTCTCGTTCCCCACAACGGATTCAATTTCCCCCAGAGCATAAGGCAACACCGGTGTCTCGTCAATACCGTATGAGTTCCGTAGGTGGTAATAAATCATTCTTAGGGCCGCGTTATGTCGATTGATATATGTTGAGACCGCATATGCTGGACATGCTGACAGCAAGTGCACCTTGTGTCAGGATCCTCCATACCCATCACGCGACTGCGGTAGACTAAGGTGTTGAAAACACCATCCTGGCAGACAATGATGAACACCCCAGCTACCGACTTCAGGCCACTCGACCTGAGGAAAGCGAAGTTTCTGCTGGTCAGGCCCTATCCCCCGAATCCCCGATACATTCGGAGGGCGCGCCAGCAGTATCAACCAACGAAAACTCACCACACCCTGGGGTAGGTAAGTGATCATTGGGTCCAAGAATCATGTACCCTGAACAAGAGTAGTGGGCCAAGAATGACAAGAAATATTATTATTACTGAATTAATGTTAGGCGACACAGCCATTCGAACATATTAAATTCAGAACAGATAATAGAAAAGACTATTACAAAAAAATCGAAATTGAAAGTAATTTTACAATTCCAGTAATTGTCCAGAGTATTTTAGAAAGCATTATTTGATGTAACACAGAGTATATGATCAGGCAGGCCGTTCCACTGGAAGAGAGCACGATTGCACAGGAAATATTGGCGACACCGTATTAGGAATCTTTGTTTCACTATTTTAAATGGATGTCCTTTCAGTCTTTCATCATTACTCCGCACAAAAAAGTCTAAAATTCACTGAGTAGTGTCCGTGAAGAATTTTGAATGTTTCAATAAGATTACCTCGTAATCGACGGTAGGAAAAAGAAGTTAATTTGAGTAATTGAAGGCGACCCAACGTTTACATGGTAAGTCATGGATTCGTGAGGAAAACTTGGTGATACGCCTTTGAATATGCTCAAGCACATACATGTCTTGGCAAAGTAAGGATTCCAAACTGGCATACTCGACGATTGATTTAATACAGGGGGCCACATGCGGCTCTTTGGATGTGAGCTGCGGCATTTCAGTTCCATATGCAATATTATTTATTTTTAAAAAAAAAAACATTGAAAAATCGTTCTGAATCGATCAACGAGAATTAGGCACAATTTCTATCGCTAAAGGGACAACAACGATTTTTCAGAGCAAAATAAACCACGAAACTCTTTCGTTTCACTGCATAATACACCAAGAAGCGCTTCTTTGTGCCGAAATATATCCTGCTGAAATAATTGAGGTCATGAATTTGGTAATAAAAAGCACTCTACCATAGTCAGTTTGAAAAACTCTTAAACAAAATGGAGACTAAGTATTCCGACAATAAAGTGCGATTATTTTCCAAAGGTAAGGTGTTGAAACGTTTTGATTTGTGCATCCTCAGTGAACGAAATTAAATGAGCTGAATCTAAAACTGCAAGGAAAGGAAAACCCAGCCTTTGTTTTAGTTGAAGAATTGGTTTGTTTCGAAGAAAAATTGATTATTTTTGCTGAAGATATTCAGAGCGGTAAATTACGTCATTTTCAATTTCTGAGGCAATATCGCCATAAAACCAGTGCAACTATTGACACGAATTACTTCAGCACAGTTATAAAAAATTAAAGTTGAATTTGCTGACAGATTTCAGCAATTCAAAACCAACAAAATCACTCTAGCATTCATAGTAAATCCTCTCCACACAAATAGTAACGAATTCCACATTGAGTAATTTGGAGTTGATACTGGATCTCTAGAAATGCAATTGATCGATTCTGAAAGTAAAGCTTTGTGGAGTGGAAAATTAACAGAGTTGAAAAGCAAGTTGGAAATTCAGAAATGTATTACGTAACGCAGCAAAAGTGGACAGCTTTAAAAAATGCCGCGAGTGAGACAGTTATATTCGACGCAAGTGATAGTCTTCCAGATTGCTACAGTGAGGTGAAGAAGTTGGTATTTAGAGTGCTGACTATCTTCGGATCGACATGTTCGTGAGAGCAAGTGTTCTCTTGCATGAATATGATTAAAAGTGAAGTAAGAAGCTAACTAACAAATGAAAATTTAGAGTCGTGTTTGAAACTCAACAACAAGTTATGTGCCACATTTATCCGAATTTTTTAAAACCATGCAAATCCAACGCTCCCATTGAATTTGTTTGCCCAATTCTTTGTTATTGAAATACAAGTTAGTGTTGTGAGTAAATGTTTGTTTTAATGTGTGTTACTTAAATAATAAGTGATTGTCTGATAATACCATATATATTATCTAATTTCCTGTGAAATAACACTACTTATGTATGAATAAATAGATATTTTTCTTATGAATGGATAGATTAGTTTTTTTTATCAAAAACCTTTATTTATGCAAGTGCCATTTATTGTAGGTAAGAACATTTTTCTGGTTCTTTAAAAACTTTGAAATTTTGTAAAATGTAATTTTTGACTCTTCCGACTCAAAAGGTTGCCGACCCCTGGTATAATGTATGTTTTGTAAATTTTGGATAGTAGTTCACAATAGATATTTTCAAAAGAAACAGTCATCATGTAAGATTCAGGGTTGACTTTGAACAATTGGCAAATATTATAAATAATCGACAGTTCAATCAACAGTTTGAACTTTCGATTATAGATAATCGACAGTTTGAACTGCTGATTATCAAATAAAAAAGCTGTTTGGCCCTTCAACAATTTCGTACTAATCTAAATATTTTCTTGCAGATCTGTTATTATCGTAACAGTACGAAACGAGAACAAGTCATAGTAATGAAATGGAAGCTGTTTTGATTTCTTCGGAAAAAAAGTATAAGAAAGGAAAAGGGGGAGAAGGACAGAAAGGATTCGACTTTCAAGTTAATATTCTTGCCCTATTCGCTTTAGAAGGCCTCCATACTAATACTGAATTTGAATTATCAACTGAAAATAAGGACTGTGATAAATTTGATGATGTAGTGTACCAGAAGTCGGAAGGAGATGTTTTGATGCAGTGCAAACATAAAGAAAAAGACGTAATATCCGAAAATGACATTTTTTCTCTCAGTAGAAATGGCGATTTCAGTTTCGCCAAATATTTTATATCCTATTTGAAGTTGGCAAGAAAGTTTACTAATGCACTCTACTTTGTTTGTACAAATACCAATATAAAGATTTCAAAGTATTTGGTGGAACAAAATGAAAATACTATTCTTTCAGTTGGAAAGTGTTACAAACTGAAATTGATAATTACCAAGCTTCAGACGTGCATTGAAGAATACGCTAAGCATGTTAATTATAGCGACATACCGCTAGATATAGCAGAAAAAATACCCGAGTTTGTAGACAAGTTTCATTATATTTCAATTGATGACCAATCTCTTTTTCAACACATAACCAATCTAATGAAAAATCTAGGTGAAGAATTCAAAATGGATTTTTCTACCCAACATTTCATTCAAGAAATGAATAGATGGTTTATGGAACCGAAGGGAATTTATTTGAAGAAATCACATGTCAAAGCATTCCTTTTCGAATATGTTAACCAAAAGTATGCTGAAAAACTGAAAAGCTGCAAAATCCAATTCGATCCATTAAATCTACCAGATAGTCAAATATTGCATGTAACTGTAGGTGATGATATATATTTGAAGATGGCGAGATTGTACCAGGAGTTATTGTTTAAATATAACCAAGATAATATATTAATAATGGAGCCCATCAAGAATGATTCCGGTAGTTTTATAATGATGAAACTGCTGGATATATTTGCATTATCCCGTTATATACTGCTAATTATTGTCGCAAATGAATTGACTGATGACCAATTTAACGAAATAACGGATTATATAAAAAATCTTCAAAAACGCTTTACATTCAAAAAAGTTTTCTTTTTTTCGAAACAATTTTCACATCATGAAGACGTTACTGAAATGAACTTTACAGTTAACTTCAATGACTTAGAGGATTCGTCTAAACAGGCCTTTCTTCAGGCTGATTGCAAATTTCAAGGAAATAAAATTAAAACTTCTGCGTTACTCGACTCTGCTCCAGATACTGCCAATGAAGTTTTTGATGACATACAACTAGTAAAGTTTGCTGCAAACGAACAAATTGAAATTGAACCCGTTGTTATTGATTTCTTAGGTATAACTCCTTTATATATAGAACGAGATTTAATTTATGAAACTGAGGCAATACCTGAAGGAAAGTTGGCATTGGATATTGCCAATGGAGAGAGGAAATTCATTTTGATATCTGATATAGCGGGGATGGGAAAAAGCACAATTTTGACAAGACTACACAATCTAGCAGAACAAAATACAAACGATTTTGTACTGAGAATCAACTTGAATCTCCACACCGGGACTCTCGCGGAATTCAACAAATCCAAGAACACGTTTCTGAAGTTGGAAGATTTTATAAAAATTCCAATAAATACTTTTCAAGAAAAACTTTTTCAACTGAGACATAAAATAATATTAATGGTTGATGCTGTGGACGAAATCAGTCCAGAATACACTGAAATTGTATTGACTTTCCTCAATGCAACACTTAAACGGGACAATATCAAAACTCTTGTCGTAACAACCAGACTTCACTTGAAAAATCGATTGGAAAAACTCTTTGAAACTAAGGCGCTCGGTTTGAAACCACTATCAGAAAAGGATCAAGTTCGTTTACTTTGTAATTTTTGGAAAACTTCACTTCAACTTGAAAGTGATGACATAAAAAAGTGTACAGAATGTGCGAAAGTTTTATTGAAAAACCTCTATCAATCTATTGATTCCCAAAACTGGAGCTTGACGAGTATTCCATTGCAAACAATAATGATTGCAGATATTTTCAAGACCTGGTGTAAGGAGTCTATCGAATCTGAGCAAGAGGTTTCATTTGTCAAAAAAATTGATATGGGACTGTTATATTCTACTTTTCTGGATAAAAAAAGGAAAATTTTCATTGAAGATAAGTGCAATACCCAGGGAAATACCATAACAGAAGGACTGTGTAATAAAGAATTCGACATTTCATTAAGAATGCATCAAAAACTAGCTTTGAATGAATTAGTTGATGAAAAAAAATGTCAACTGTTCAGAGTTTATCGAGATATTACAATGACTAAAATAGCTTATGAAAATATAATGAAAATAGGTATACTACATAAATTACAAGATAAAATAATTTTCATACACCAGACGTTTGCGGAATATTTTGTTGCTTTGAGTATAACAAATGAATTAATAAATGGAAATAACTCTGAAGAGTTTATTTCCTATGTTTTGGAAAAAATATTCGCAGCTGAAGAATGTGTAATAATTCGTTGTTTTTTGGAATACCTGCTGAAAGATGCAAAACTACCCGAAAATATTTTTTCAGCATTCAGGCATGCAATTAGGGATATGGCATTCAGTGATAAAATAATAAACTTCAAATGTTTGTCCGAAGAAGGCTGTTTTCAAACCCTGAAAATAATTTTTGAAAAAAACAGTTTCAGCAAAGTTGTTTTAGAAGTCCGGGATAAATTTGAAAGGACTGCAATTCATCATGCAGTTGAACATTTGCCGGTTGTGGAATTCTTGGTGGGCTTGGAAATAGACGTGAATAAGGAAGACAATCTAGGTCGAACAGCCTTGCATTTGGCGGCAGTGAAAAATCAAGTTGAAGTTGTAAAGTTTTTGCTGGCAAATAAAGCTGATATCGGGGCTACTGACAATTTTGGAAATTCTCTACTACACTTTGCGTCCGTGGTCGACTCTGTCGAATTAGCTCAGATTTCGTTAAAGAATGGAACTGATTTGAATGCCAACAATTTTGACAGCTGGACTGCCTTGCATACTGCAGCGCTTCATAATAGCATACATGTCATCAGAATCTTAGTAAAAAATGGGTGCAATCTCAATAAAAAAACCAATAGGCGTCAAACGGCTCTTCACTTTGCAACTGTGTCAAATGAAAATGATGAATCAAAAACACTAGCCACTACACAATATTTAGTCTCTCTTGGTGCTGATACAAATGTTAGAGACTGTTATGGTAGAACAGCGTTATTTCCAGCTATGTCACATCATAGTCCTGCAGTCGCTCAGTTCTTAGTTGACCAGGGATGTGATATTAATGTAGCAGATAACAATGGAGTAACATTATTACACTGTGCTGCAGAAGAAGATTCGCTCAAGTTAGTGAAATATCTCATTGGGAAAAATGTAGATATACAAAGAAGAGACAACACAGGTCGAACTGCTCTTCATTACGCTGCGAAAAATGATTCGATTCACGTAGTCGAGTTTTTAGTTGACCAAGGAATTGACATCAATGTTTCAGATAATAATGGTGTTACTATTCTGCATGTTGTCGCTAAAAGTAGATCTATTGAAATGATTAATTTCTTGATCGATAAGAAATGTAACATCCACAAAAGAGATAATCAAGGTCAAACTTTAATTCATTTTGCTATATTAGGAAGTGGAACTGTAGACTTAGTCAAATTTATAGTTGAACGTGGCTGCAATATTCATTATAAAGACAATGAAGGAGTTACTGTACTTCATAGAGCAGCTGAAAAAGGATCCATTGAAATAATTGAATACTTATTTGGAGAGAAAGGAATGACAGATTGCCGAGACGATAATGGCAAAAGTGTTCTGCATTATGCTATATCTACTCGAAATTCACTGAAATTAATTAAATTTTTATTTGAATGCGGATGCAACGTCAATGCTAAGGATAATAACGGAGTATCGCCGCTCCATTTGGCAACGGAAAAAGGTCGCTTTGATATAGTAGAATATTTGATTACACAAGGAGCATTAGTTAATGCTAGAAATTACGAAGGTGAAAATGCTCTTCATTCAGCTTTTTCTTCGTCAAACCACGTCGACTTGCATCTTGTTAAATTTTTAATTGACCATGGTTGTGATGCCGAAGCAAAAGATAATCGTGGTTGTACGCTGCTACACCGAGCTGCTAAGAGAGGTGCGTTGGAGATAACAAGATACTTAATAGATGTGAAAGGTGTCCAGGACAGCAGAGACCAAAACGGAAAGAATGTTTTGTTTTATGCAATTCGTAGCAATAAAAAAGACATTTTACAATTTCTAATAGGCAGAGGATTCGATGTATCTGTGACAGATCAGGAGGGTAGGTCGTTAATCCATACAGCTGCTGAATTTGATTCGTGTGACACCGTTCACTACTTATGGAAAAAACGATTGAATTTGAATACGACGGATTCGAATGGCCGCACTGCATTACATGTTGCAATCTTGAACGACAGCATTCGTGTTGCAAAAATACTAATTAGTTTAGGGGTAATTACATACATCAGAGATAATTTCAATGAAACTCCTCTTGATATTGCTATTAGAAATGGATCGCAGATTGTACCTTACCTTATTTCCCATAAAACGTATCCTCAACAATACAAGTAATGCCCGTCTAGACAAAGTTATTACAGAGGAAGATGTGCGATATATTTATATTAAGCACGACCAAAGTTATCTTCTATGTACGATAAATTTTAGGAAACAATATGTTGTGAACGTGTATCTATATAGACCTTTTCACTGGAGGATGCCAATCTCAAGTTCTAAACGCATTCGAATGATACACTCATCCTTTGTTTTGTAGCAGGCCATGAAAACAAATGTTGATTTGACATTTCTCTGCATTTCTTCGCGTATGTAGGTGAGATAAACAAGGCGTTATTTTCTATTGAGATGAATTCAAACCTCAAACATGCTGTGGAAGAGCTCAAGAAAAATTTCAGGGATCAAGAATTTGCATTTGATTATGTGGATATGGAAAAGTGTCTTCGGGAGTTCAAAACAGAGCTTTATATTAAGAGGGTGAGTAAAGAAACTTCATGAATTCATAGTTATTTACTGAAAGATATCATTTGATGAATATTAGGGCTACTTACCAGAATTTCTCTACGTTAAAAATATAATTTGTTTTCAGTTTTTTTATATTGACCGTTGAAGGCACTGTTTATTGTTTATTGAAAATATAATTTTATTTTTGAAGCTCTGTATTCTTCAGAATCATATGCAGAGTATTCATGCCATCCAAAAAAGTAACATATAAGTACTGGGTGTTGCCAATATTCCAGACATATTTTGGTGTAAAATTTATGTCAGAAGTCTCCAAAATGATTTCAATAAATTGGCATTTTTCAACGAGAAGTTTGTTATTCGGCAAATAATTTGAGAAAAATGAATAAAAATTTTTAGGTTTAGTGATACCTATTTTCAAAAATGATTTCCTGAAATATTCTTTGCTGAATGCATCGATATAAGGAAAAATGTCAATTCTCATTTGTTTGAAAGTTCAATGTTTGAATATATGAACAAAGTACGTAGATGAATAACCTCGTATTTATTAACAATAGCCTATCCGTAAGTCGCGTAGGAATATTCTTTTATTTTCGACTTCACTGATATTCAGAATTTTGATAAAAAATGTCTTATACGAATATGTTTCGATTATGATATTTATGTATAGGTATCATATATAAATTACTGGAAGAGTTTGCATTGAAGGAATGTTGTCTTATTTTCGTGAGATTATGTGAATTAGTTAAGTGTGGCAATTCATTTTTTATTTCAGTCCCTTGTATCTGAGAGTATTGGTGAGTTTTATTCGATTTACCTATATTTTCATTCAAGTTGTCTCAGTAGAGATGTAGTTATTGTCATAATCACAATAGCAAATCAAACCTGTGAATTCCTGTAGAAGCATTTAAGAAAAGTTTCAATAGGTATTTAGTTACAATTATATTTAAATATCCGACTCCATTGGTTCAATTTGATTAGGACACTGACATTGATTGAAATTGTGAGAATTATGCATAATTAGGCTCCGAAAGTTTCGTATGATTCGAAAATAATTAGGAACATGGTTGTTAGTTTCATCGCTGTCGAGAAGAAGCGTTTTATCGGTGGAAAACTCTGTTTTGGAGACCTAGCCTTGAATTTTTTTATCATTTTATGGGTTTGGAGGAAATAATCCGACAACTCTTCCAGATATCTGTTTCTTTCAAATTGTTGTTGCTTTTACAGGTTATGGTACCAAAAATAATCATTTTCTTATTTTCATTCAGTTAAAAATTCAGAATCACCAAGACCGTTGGAGATTTTTTTCGTAACTGAATAAACAAAGGCTTTCCAATTCCATTTTATGTGATAGTGATTGATTTCAATTCCACAGGAAGAAGTAAAGCAACTGAGAAATGATTTGGAATCAGCAAATTTTGAAATAAAGGAATTGAAGAAGGCTTATGATACAGTAAATACACTTCATGAAGAGAAAACATTCAATCTGAATCTACTGATGAATAAATCTGGAAATCAGGAAAAGGAGTTGCTAGAGAAACGCGACTCTCTTATGACTCTTCAAATGCAACATAAAATGACCGTAAGTTGATGAATTCCATTATAACTTGGCAATGCAGGCTTATTCTCAAACAACTAAAAAATAAATTGAAATCAAACGATTCGGAGGAAATCAAAATCTCTAGTTTTTCAATGGGATAAAATTTAATCAAATCAATTACAAAATTGCTGAATAGAAAATTCAACATTTTCTTTTGAATCTGGTGTGATAGATGAAAAACAAATGAAGTATTACTGAAAAACGAGAGGAAGCAAGCATCATTATTTTTTGTAGGTGGCAGAAATTGAAATACTGAAGGAAAAACTTCAAAACAGCGAATCCGAAAAACATGAATTTACCAGAAAATTGGAAAATTTTGAAGCCAAACAACGCCATGACTTCATTTACCATAATGCAATCATGAAGCGTGAGACTAATCTGAGGAGTATGATGGAAGAAATGAATGTGTGAGTAGTGAAAAGAGTTGTGCAGACGTAAAAATTCCCCTCACTCACTTGGAGCTCACTCCAATTTATCCCAATAAATGTTCATAATCTGTTCAGAAAGTAATTCTGAAAAAGGTAGTAGATATTGGTTATGTTGAAGATTTGGTGAATTCTGAATATTGAAATTTGCTTCAAACGCTTTTTCATTTTGAAAATTAATAGACATTGATTGTGATCGATCTTGAACAATTTGAAACGAGACTGTAATATTTTGTTGCGAGATAAACGAAATTGTGTTGTAATATACTATTTTGAGGTCGATTATGTGTCATCAAGGACAGCTCACATTTATGATCCTGTTGCCTGGTCACAACCTTCAAAAAATTCAGTTGCCTCATACACAGAAGGGCAGTCTCATAATAAAGGTCATCTGTTGAATAGTCAACAGGAAGTAAGTGAGATATTTTCTTTGGTAAGTAGAACTTTAAACCTTTGCAAGAAATGTAACTATTGAAAACACTTTCCCTTACCAGAAAAAAATCAGAAGATGACTTAAACTGTTTTAGTCATCTAGTAATTTTGTTCTGGTGAGAGAAAAGTGTTTTCAATGGATTGAGCTATTTCAACTGAACCGTTTTTTGTAAACCTAAACAAATTCAATTGATAGCTATTGCATTCCTTTAAAATATCCGCGAATTCATAAATAAACTCACGGATGGTGAAATAATTTCCACATAGGTCAGATTCAGTCACTTAGAACATATTATTTGTGGTATTGAAATTAATCAAAATGGGAGGACTCAATAACATTTTTCGAGAAAGAATTTTGTACTGCATCACTGAAATTTATTTTTAGAATTCCAGAGAGTTTATATATAAAGATTATATTAGTAATAATTGATTATAGATAATTATTGTATATACGAAGTCAATACTCAATAAATAGTTACCGAACGTCGGCATTTTCTTTGTATGGCATGGGCGGCGTGGTATAATTCACGAGGTCTAATCATTATTTTTATGCGGTAGGTTTTATATGATAAAACCTACCACATAACCAGACCCGATACATTAGTCTTTCATTTATCTGTTGGGAATGTCTTCGTATAGACTATACTCAATTTTTCGCATTTAATTGATTTCTAATTTCCTTATTAACGATCATTACTTTTTTCCAAAATTGAATGGAACTATTTGAAACTTGAATAAAATCTACACTAAAACTTAGTAGTTCAGTTTAAAGTAAACATTTCTTCATAACAGGTGTGACAGGTAAAACCTGTTGTGAAAATCTTACTGTATTCCTCCTAAGGATACTCTGCCTTAAGAAAAGTTAATAACTTCAGAAACATATTTGAAACATTAAAATCAGTTCAAGATTATGTTTTTAGAGATAACTTGAAGAAGTAGTCATAAATGGATATTTGACAGTTAGCATAATATTGTAACGAATTAAAGAATTTAACTATCTTAAACAAATTCATTTCTAACAATATTTCACCATCACAACTAATTTATATTCAACACTTAGCAACTAACGCTTAATGTATCTTCACTATTCGAATTCTTTGTTTAAACTGCTTGATTCGCTTTCTGAATACAGACTGCTGTTTCTGGACGAGAAGTCGGCCTTTTATATCGGTAACGATGGCTCTAGATTTCTCTAGTGGTTTCGGTACTCATCTATACTTTTCGTGGTGAGTCATGTGTTTATTCGCTGGCTGGGATATCGGTCAGGGCCGGATTCAGATTCGTTACAATATACATATTATGTATACTGGGTGCATTGGCGTAACTAGGATTAAAGTCTAGGTAATTTATATACCTAGTAGTAGTAGCCCCCATGCTAATATATCATATTGCAAATGACTTTTAGCTAGAGAAGAATAGAGAGTTCTCATTTGATATTCATCTAACATTTTCACAACGTTGTTTACTTGGAAATTCCAATATATTTCATGTATGGTTTTCATGAAAGAGTTGGGGTTGTGTCAATCTCCACAATATCTAGTGTTTTGTAGTCTGGCAAGTATTGAGGATAGGAAATGAAGAACAAAAAGGGTTTACAGAGGGTAGACGATCATTAAACCAATATAAATATATGTTTTTCAGCTTTTGATTTTAGATTTTCCCAAGAATCTGTTTTGTTTTAATACAACTATATCATCAGCAAAATATTTGGGTGTCTTTATTAATTGTGAACAGCAAATGGCCTAAAACCGTTCCCCTAGAAACACTAAATCTAATATCTTCTTCTGAGCTGAACTATTTACAGTTTCAACTTGTTGTTTCCTATCCGACAAGTAACTATTGAATAATTTGGATTTGGTTTCTTTAAAACCAATGCTCTTGTATACATTTATGGACTTACTATGCACAAAGTATCGAAGGCTTTACGGTGGTCACCAAAAATACTCAATACAGGAATGTTTTCATCAACACATTAACAAAAAATTGATGGATGTAGCCGTTACTTCGTGGTAGGAAATCATAATGAAGAAAAAAGAAATGAAACTTTCTATGTTTCTACCACTTTTATTTGTAACTAACGTTACTGCAGTTTATTGTATTGTAAGTTTGAAAATGTTCGTATAGTGCAGTAACTGCAGTAACGTTAGTTACAAATAAAAGTGGTAAAAAACTTGAGAAAGTTTCATTTCTTTTTTCTACATTAATAAAATTTGCGAAAGAATTGTAATGTTTGTTTGTAATTATTGATTTAGAGACGATCCCCACTTTCGAAAAGAGATTTCACTTGCTCAGTTGTTGCTGAGACTTCAAAATATAACTTTCGAGCCTACCAGCCCTGATGTTTTTCTCTTTAGAATAAGAAGTGCTTGCAAGGAAATTATACCAGAAACATCATGTAAGAAATAAATTTATGAACAGAGAAAGTGAATGATGGACTTTTTGAACATTTATCGAGATAAACTTGAGTTTTTAATAACATCTTTATTGAAATTTTAATATTGTTTTTCTTCAAAATCATGATGCGAATATAAAACTGCAGGAAAGACTTCAAAGAATTAACCAGTGGTGTAGGTATAGAGAATTCGAATACCACAAATGAGGAACCATTTCCATTTGGAAAAAAAGTTGATAGCGCCCTCTCGGTGATGAGTGAGGTCTTCACGATATTGTTTTTTCATCAAAAGGTACTTAGTAAAAATGAAGCCTTTCTCGTAAACTTTGTTTTTAACATCAAGTCCTGTTAGAAGGTGGGGGCTTTTTATGTCCGACCTGTATATATGTTCCATTAAAAAAGATTACCGTACATGATATTGAGTGTTTGAAAATACCTAATTTCACATTTATAACAGGAATTATGCCAGTCTTGTGGTAATTTTTTTCAGGATGATGGCGAAACTTAAAAAAGATCATACCGAAATCATGAAGCTCTCAAATCAAACAAAATTTGCAGAAGAATTAACAGAAAAAATTCAACACCTTTCCAGAAACTATGAAAAACTTAAGGAGGAGAAGGAAAATTTCGAGGAACTTTATATCAAAATAAGTGGTTTGTTAATGAAATTATTTTTTCGTTATTTCAATAAATTAGAAATTTTGAAATTAGTAACTAAAATATATTGAACTGAAATATTGTCATTAGTTCTGAAAAAAATATTCCAAACTAATAACAATGTGAGGATACAATTTTAAAACTAGTTGTTGATACTGGAAAATCTTAATAAAATCCGTGATGTGTTGAAAAAATATGTTTTTTCGTTAAGCAGATGTTGCTCCATACGAACGACAACTCTCAAAAGTATAAACTTGTGCGAGCTAAGGATTAACGAGGTATCAATTTTTAGCGTGCGATTCCTAGCACGGGTGGAAAATAAAAGTGAAATATTGATGTTCAGAGCCATTTCCAAACGTGAGAATGGAAGGTGTATGTCAAGTGTATGTCATAACATACATACGTACCTTATCAGATACTGAAAAAGTTTGTTTTAATTGATGTACACTAATAGTTGAGAAACACAGAAACATGGTACACATCATTCATTATGAATATAAAAACAATACTTTACTGTTCAGAACGATTTCCCCACAAAAAAGAGTTAAATTTGAATTGTTCATGGGATCTGAAGTAATTTAGTGAAAATATTTTCACCATATCCCATTACATAATCTGAGATAATCTGAAAGCAAATTTGATGTTATCATTGGGAAACAGCCGTGGTCCAATTGTACCTGAATACCTAATTCATTCAGCCTAGATTGAACCATCCAATTTGTTCCCAATTAAAATTAGGATGGGCAAATCATGGACCACTCAAGACAGATGAACCTCTCCTAGAAATTTATCATATTAATTATTCCGGTGTAACTTGATTGATGCTGAGTTACATATCACAGCAGAATACAATTTCAAATAAAATAATTTCTGAATGAAAGAAAATACTTGACAAAACGTCAACTATCACAGGCAATTATGAAATAATAACAGAACTTTCTGAAACTACTAGAGTTTATGGAAAAAGCAGATCGACTTGCAAATAATAAATTGAAAACAAAATTCAACAGAGATCTCACGTGGACCATTACCTACTTCAAAAAAAGTACATGCAGGTACTACAGGTGAACGTAGAGTAAAAGCACAAAGAAATTTGAAAGAAGGAAAAACGGGATTGATGTGCCAGATGAAAATCAAAATGACTATTAAATACAATTGCATTCTCAAAATAATACAGATATCGTAAAACAAGCTTAACTAAATAGAAAAGATATACCTACTACTCAGAGACAAGTAGCGAGGTGACAGATGGAGATGTGTATACTCAACAGACACCAAAATCAAATCGTTTTTCCAAGCAAAGACCAAGTCACTGGTAATATCATTATAAAAAGCTGAAAATTTTTCTATAACTTCAACTGAAGGGGGTATATTTTCAGGACAAATTAATTTTTGGGAAATAAAAGTTTTGTATTTCCACTTCTCCATCTTTATACAAAAAAAAGGAGGAATCTTCCAAAGAAAGGAAGAAAGCAATTAATTTCAAAAGATGTGTAGATCATACACAGAAGTAATTTTCACACAAACTGAATGAAAAATACTTTTGAAAGAATTACTACTGTAGAAAAAACACTTTTTCTCTATTCAGTTTGTATGCCAAACATTCTTTATGAAATAACCTTTTTTCAAACTTTGTATCATGGCCGACAAACGGTAACGATCTGCACATGTGGGAGGATTATTGCATAACTTTTGCTCTCACGTGTAATATTTCACTGGCCCAACTGAATTTGTCAATTCGCTGACGTAATTCGTGTATAGAAAAAATTTAGGAATGAAAAAAAAGATAGTCATGACTAAGAATCAATATGATAAAATACTCATAGTATTCAACAGTATTGCTAATATACTCGTTGTATCAGCTAGCAAATTCTTCAATGCCTTTTAAAATTGTAGGATGCTCAAGTTCGCAGACCTTACTACTAATGGTACGTGATGGAATAATTTATCATCATTATTGTGTGTGGAATCTTTGATTAACTTTGAAGAGGGAATTAGGAGGCTGAAACTATAATAGCTCTTACCATATTTATGTTTGGCATTAAGGCAAACTGTCTACAGAAAAAACAGTCCAACGACTACTAAAATTTTATTGACAGGAAAAAACTGAAAAAATGGTGTTTTTTTTTCAATTTTTACCCTGTACACTGAGTTGGAAGGTATTAGCAGTTCCATACTTATAAATGAATTGTTAATATTCCAAGATATAAAGATATATTTCTAAAACTGAGTTAATAAAATAACAATATTGAAGATATTTCTATTATGAATACTAGAAATTGTATAACTCCAGTTAAATTGATAAAATATCATTCAAAAATCTAAATTTCATTACAATCATTCAGTGTGAATAACCAGTTTCTTCCTTCAAACTACACATCTTTTTACTTCAGAGGGTATGAAATATTTCAAGATATTTCTTGATAAATTAATTTTGAATTGGCCAGTGTCAAAGACTGAAACACAATACTGTGGGTGAGGAAAAATTTCAACTATCAAGTTGGTTCCTAGATTTTAAAAGCTCTTATATAAGGCTGAAATATTTACTAGTAATATTGATAACACAAGGACCTCATACTAATGATAAAATCAAAAATCTATTCCCTAGTTCAACATTTTGGAATAAATGAGTTGAGTATACTACAATCCATTGTCTAGTCTACTCACATAAAACATTGTTTGATTATAATTCATGGAAAAAAATTAATGCTTGTTCTTCAAAAGCTCGCAGTTTTGAAATGTGATCTATCAAATAAGTATTAGTTATCATTCCAAGAACCCAATAAATTTTTTAAATATATGTTTGTGTTTACTATTCATCTTTCTTCTAGCAAAATGTGAAAAACTTCAAGAATTCATGGCCCCCAGGAGTGAAATACATGAGCCCAATTTGATAACCAAAATAATTTTCAACCATGTGAGTGTGAAAATATTTGCATTGCTGATATACACTATCAAATTTTTAATCAACGTTATGATGATGAAATTAAAAAATATTTTATAATTTTCAGTGGAAAACAAATAGAGCAAGATACTCAGAAAAAATGGATGAAATTTTAACAAAAATTACGGAGTCATACAATTCTGAAAAGACCACAAATATTCAGTTGATTTTTCGCAATGAAGAACTTACAGAGTTGTTACAGAAGGCCAATTATCACATTAAAAATTTAGATTGTGAAAATGAACGGTTAAAGGAATCCCATCTCATAATGACAGAAGAGTTGAAGACAAAAATTGAACAGTTAGAAGAAAGAATGAGAAAGTCAGGGATCAGCGAGATTACTGAAATCAAGGATGAACCGATAGAAATAGATTGATAGTAAATCTCATCACTGTTATTATATTCTTGTTGTGAATTGTGCATTTGTTTCATTTGGACTCTACAATGAAATGAAGATTGACGATTTTCTTAATAAAAATGTATATTCTTTAAAGTTTATCAAGTCATTTTTAAATTGGCAGGAACTTCAACAAAAACGCCTTTCAAGCACAAAGTGCACTTTTCCCAACACTCTTCTTGTTAACCAAGCCGATGTTAACAGGAAAAAATCTATCCAGGTTCTCATTGGAACTTCTCAAAAGGTCATCATTCATAAGACATACTCTAAGATGTAGCTTAAAATTGAATTGACAAATTTAATTTTCAAACACACTAGAACTAAAATATTCATGACGACCGGTTTATCAATTATATCGGCCTCATCATCAGAACATAATTACAGCGATTTTGGATTTGTTTAAGGCCATGACCATGAAATTTTTCTTTTTTTTAGGCATCGGATTTATGATCACACATTGGTATATACGACCTACATAATTTTTCAGGGCAATGATACATAAATAACCTTTTGCCTCATTAAAAATCCATATATTTTATCACAAAATATTACCTATGGTTACAATATTCATCAGCACTTCATTGGAAATTCCTTTTATAGTAAAAACAATCCGCTTCATATTTTTTAAATCTCCCCTTTCAATCTCTCACAGTATAAAAAAAAAACTAATCAATACAGTTTATTGTATGATTTTCACTATAAGGGTTTTACAAAAACCGCGACACACGCATAACTCAGTTATGCTTGAAGAAGCTATTGTATAGCGAAACACGTGTCGCGGTTTTTGTAAAACCCTTTAATAGTGAAAATCAATAAATAAACTGTATTGATTAGTTTTTTAATATGGATTTTCATCAAGTATCGGCAAGTTCCATTCAATTCTCTCACAGTATGTTGAAATTAAACATTATTGGAGAAATATTTGACTATCTCCACTAATACATCTTGTACTATTAATGCTGATGTCCTGAATATTTATTATGTTATAGAAGGTGAAGATAACAATAAATTATTGAACATTTTCAATTGATTGTGTAACGCTCCCTTCTGAATATTACTTTATGCTCAGTGATGCCCTTTAAAAAAAACAGATCATCATTGTTTATGAATATCATCACTGATTACACCATTCAACATTAGTACTAGTTTTGTTTTGACTTGAAAAAACCAATATGAAAATCTTTATGAACAATGGGATTTATAGACATAACATCTCCCTATAAATAAAATAAAATGAATAGTGTGAAAGACGAGACAGGAATCAGTAGACTGAATGTATAATTTTAGTATGATTTGCACAAAAAATTAAGAATAAATACCTAATAAATAAACTATCAATTGATAAGAATAAATGAGAATAAATCATGAATTACAAGAAATATGAAAGAATTTCTTGCTGGATATTGGATCTGACTTATTACTTATAATAAATGGTAGTTTTCTTTTTCTACCTACATTCTCAAACTTTTTAATTTTTATCTACGTAATGTGAAATTTTCATATTCTCCTCTACAGGAGGCGTACACTTTTAGTGAGATTCAAGTTCGAAATAATGACAAGCATAATTGTATTAAATTAGGATGACAGTATGAAGAAACTGAACTGAGAAAAAAAAAATTCCTAATATATAAACTATCAATTAATTTAGAATAAATAACAATGAATCATGAATTACAAGATAATTCATTGCTATAAATTAAATCAGCCTTAGCAAAAAGAAGAAGAGATAGATAATATATTTTTGGGTATAATTTGCATTGCCTGGTTCAATTCGTGAAAGGATAAACTAGTTAATGAATCTTTGATCCTAGCTTTGAGAAAGTACATGGATTAACCTTCTTGTTGAATGTATATTTAGCGGAAATGGCTTTCATTTTCGCGGGTAATTGATTGTAAAGTTTCGGTCTGAATAATTTCTTTGATTTATATTCATTTATAGTATATGTGCTGCGGTTTTGTAAACTGTTTAGTTGAAACCTCTCAATACTTGAATATGTTGTTATGGATTTTTATGAAGTATCAGCCAATTCCATCATATAAAATGTGAGTATCTATCTATCTAAAGACTATACAAAACAAAAATATGTCCTTGATCTTTAAAATAATTCGCTAAGTAGAACAAACCAATGCATTGATTGCAACGTTTCTTCATCAAGTGTGTAGCATCGGATTGTCAGGCCGTTTGAATTTTTTTTCTTGCGTGAAAGTTTCAATTCAAAAACCAGTGGTCTGCTGTTTCATCATTTTCTAAACAGAAACAACATGCACTGTCCAAGTCTCTTCTTATGATGATTCGGATAACAGAATTGTTAATAGATCTTTTAGGCAATGTAGTTCATTCCTGCAGTAGTCTTACAATTGTTTGATAACATACTTTGAAGGGTGAATAAATGCCCTGGAAGGTATTGCCAGCAGTTTGAAACTCTTTGTGAGGTCAAGGTGTTCATTATTTTTTGTCAAATTTTAAACCAAAGCCGACGACACATTCTGGTCCGATGAAACCTCATGCAGTGCCCTCCCTTAAATGGGAGTCTGCAACTTTGTTACCTTCCAGGTGATTGTAGCGTGGAATCCAGAGGCAGTTTGTAAAGTCTTTTTGGGAGTTCACTACCAACTCAGATGTTTCTCCTTGAGAGGCAAGAGCATATGAGATTGGTTTCTGTCAATATCTTGACACACAAACCGGTAGATCCTATGCAGGCTGATAACTCTTTCCTGGGATTCGACTGTATACACCTGTACCAGAAACTGAAGGTGTTTCTGATTTTTATACAAACCAACAATTATCTGCCCTCAATTATTCCTCCTCCTGGCCTAAACTCGATGGTTTAGCCCAGGAGGAAGTGCATACTGAGTTTGCACTTTCAAACTTCTTATATTTTTCTTAACGATTGCTTATTAAAACCGTTATATTAAAACTGTTGAAAATTAAGCCATATTTAACTATGCATAATTCAGTGTATAATGCATACATGTCTTGTAATTGGATGTTTTATATCTATTTTTTGAAAATAAATAGATACTGTGGATTTGAATAAATCTTGAATAGATACTGTGGATTTGAAAAATGTTTAAGCTAATTACTTACCATGGTTGTGAAACTGATAATCTCACAAAACTGAAAAGAAAAATATAACAAAATGTTGAAAATTTATAAATTTTTTTGTATATTACTAAACTGCAATCATCACAGTTACTTTCAACAAAATATAATCTTTTCTATAAAACAATACAGTAAGTTCAGTAAATCATTGAGAAGAGAAAGAGCAGAAAAGATAGAAATAGTTTTGAACATCTCTCTTCCACATTTCTCATAAATAAAATTATCCATTTAGTTCTTATTTTGAAAATTTCACATAAAAGATAAACAAATACAAATGTGTTATCATTTAAATTTGAATTGTCAGATCTTTCGTAATAGTATCAGTTCATTTCTTGTTCAGAAAATTAGCAGCGATTCTCGTTTTTCTCTGCTTTTTTGGCTTATTCTTTTTCATTTCTGCCAAAGTTGGTTCCTGAAATTAAAAATAAAGTTACTAATACATTTCATTAAGGAAACTTTCCAACATATTCTTGTTATTCTTTACCAAATGACATGTAAAAATGTCACATTGAAAAGGAGTCAATCATCTGCTATATTTAATAGTTCCTAACCGTCCAAAATAACACGTCATTGTTCAATTTCATGAGTTGTTCACTTCAGGGGCTCTTTTCGCATACTGCAGTTATGCAGTATGTTGAAGAAGCAGAAATTTACTCTTTGAAAGAGGACTAAACCAAGTTGTGCAATCAATGTCATAAAAATTTTAAATAATTTTTTGTAGAAAGATTATACTCTTTGGAAAATACAATTTATAGTTCTCACTTCTGTGTATATACAAAATTGGGAGCGTTCAAAAACTGGTAGAATATCTCAACAAATTTCAATGGAAAATCTTCTGTACTGTTTGAATGACCATTCTTTCATGATTTTTGAAAATTTTATACTGTTATTTTTTTTTAATTTCTAACATTTATTCAGTTGATGATTTAATATCAAATATTCACTTAACAACTACTAATGAAATTTATTGATGTTCTTTTGATCAACATTTTCTATATAATATAATAGAAGTAGAAAGACAAGGTTGGATAATGGAAGTATTTCTCTTGTCACTACAAAAACCAACAATATCTTTCAGTCTAACCTTGCTCTATTCGAGGTATGGAATACTGAGATTTTGTCAAGATTAGTTTCCTAGATACCATTTTCTGAGATTATTTTTAGCCAAATCTCATTATTTTCAGAAAGTGTCCTCCTATCACAAAAAAGCCACACCCCAGAAACTATGGGATCTGCCAGCAAGTCCAAATAAATATAGATTTCTTCATGTTTTAATGTAAAAACAGTCAAGAATGAAACCTACCTGCATTTAGTTAAATGCACCCACACTTACGGCTATTTATGAGCCTTAAATAAGGAAACAGTCAACATTATGACAGAATTTTTCATACATTTTCACAAAGTGAACCTAACCTAACTCTGTTCTGTAAGAAATAGAGTTACCAAAAGTGAACCTTATCAAGCTATAGAGGCTTTGAGCTTTCTTTGATAATAACCTGCCTTTTTATGTACTTTATTTCATAATAACTTGTTTCATTATGTTCTTGCCATTGGAATTTCTTGTTCAGGTGGCTTTTTGGAAATCCCACAACAGCTCTGAGCCAGCAAAAAATACGACTGTCTACGTATATACACAGAAACGTTACTTAATTTTTTTATAGCAGTTGTTCAGTTGTTTGGAGAGTTACATGTAAAAACTTCAGACCATTTCATGACGCTTAACTTTCTGACAAAATATTTATTTATTCTGGAGCTACAGGTTCCTGTGTCTCAGCCTAGTAAAAGTTTAGATTTCTCAATTTTTAGAAGTACTACCACATTCTAGTCCCTCCATGTTGTAAACATTTGTAGACTGATTAAGACAAAAAATAGAACAATTTTTATATTATTGAAAAATTATGTAAGTATATCGTTACTCAAGTGGATTAAGTTGGAAGTATTGAATGTATGATATGTTAAGTTTCAAAACCTCATAGTGTGTTTCAGTAATGCCCCATATTTTACTTCAGTAATACTTTGTACAGGGTACACCTTTAACCATCTATTATAAACAAACAATCGATTAGTACACTAAGTAGACGTGGCGATTCACGTAACTTGTGTTAGGCATTTCTCTACCATATCCAGCACAGATAAAAATTAAATCAATGTTAAAATTTTCCAGATACTGAAAACCAATAATTGGATATAAATTGGTCAACTACAGTGCATGCTACATATATTATGAAGTAGACAACTTTCTAAAAGGGCTTGAAATGAATCGAATAACAACCATTCTCATTGGAAATTGGTCGCAGTCATCATCCACAAAAAAATCGCAGAGCAAGTATGATGTCACTTTTTTTAAATTCTGAAAGTTGTTTGTATCAACATACTGTCTTTCAAAACGAGATGGCAGGACGGGTTATTACAAATTGCCTCATTGGATGAAAAAGGCCAGACAAAAACCTAACGATATTTTATTGCATAATCCACATTTGGCTATTTAGCTCACAGGACAAAAATTAACGTATATCCATAAGAATAACAAAGCTATGTATTCATTACTAGGGTAACAAGAAAAATAGTTTGTGTATAAAAAAATTGCACGTGGATAGGAAGACTACATAATTTATTTGTAGAACGTTCTATCATTACTCTTCCTACTAATATTTCAGGTTTTTATGATGAGAAATTAATTTTATAAAAGTTTTCAGGCTTATTTTACATATTTTGCACGGTACAAAGAATATTGTAAAAGGTTTATGAATATGACAGAAATTTTAATTTCTAAACCAACCTTTACATTCCTTTCCTCATTACTAATGCCAGCAACATTTTTTTGTGTTCTTATATTTTCCTTGACACTCTCCTCCATCTGTTTTGTTTTAATTATATGACTCTTCACCGCTTGCAAGGGAACAAAGGAATTATTCAGCACTGCTGTAGTTTCACTGCTGTTTTTCTGTGAAGGCTTACTATCACTCATTGGGTTATTCAAAGTGGTTTTCTTTTTCTGTCCTACATGTCGATCGTTTTCTTGGCGCACCCAGGTTTCGGGAGGTGAAGGAATAATGTTTTCACCTTGTGCCTGTTTTTCCTGCAAGAATAATATCTGTATTGTTTGGAGAGCAAAAAATTGTCGTTTAGTAAATGTTTTGGAGTTCCTAGAAAAATATGGCTGAACTTATACAGAGTGAGAAGGTATGTTACTCCTGAAAAAATTGAAAATCATATAAAAGCCCAAGATTTTTTTAAAGGTGCAGAAATAACAGTAAAAGAACTTCCCACAGAAGAGAGTCAGAACAAATGTTTCATGTTCAGGATTGATTATGAATTCAAAGATAGTATTTACAACCCTGCAGTATGGCCCAAATCAGGAGCATTTCGTAGGTTCAACTTTCGTACTTTCAATCAGTACAGCACTAGTGCAGAGGATTTTTAATAAAAAAAATCAAATNTTTGATATGGATCTGTTGGACTTGGCTTCAAACTCAGTTTTTGCAAAATTACTTAATCAATCGATAATTCAGCAACACTGAAAGCAGAAATATGTCTGATATTCAAAATTTCCATTTCTCTTTACAGTGTGTCCTTGTGAACATTCATTAATAGGTAAATAAACAATATCATTGGAAATCTCCGAAACTGATTTACTGTTTTTTTTTTCAAATCAATACACATAATCAATGTGTAACTGATCGCTGTATCTTTGTCTGTGCATTCAAATCTCCTACGTTTGTGCACACTGATCTCAAGAACAATTATTTCTAATTTATCATCAAACTCATCTCTGAACTTTGACCCCTCTCTTTCACTACTAATGAAAGTCCTTTTTCATATTGAAATGTTTCATAACCATAAATAAGTCCACCTGTGGTAAATTACTTATGCCTACCTTAATGAAATCTTCCTGAACTGAATACATCTTTATTTAAGTATCAAACATTGAAAGCTTCGCTTCTTAATAGTTCAAACGCAGTACCAATAATCGCATATATATCGTGACATCACTCGAGTTTTTGATAGATACACAGTTTTTAAGTCATGTATCTTAATAGCGGCAAATGTTTTCGATTTGAAATTCTTGCCATTGTATTGTGGATGACAAGCACTATCAAAATATATGAAAAAATACAAAAAATTATATGTGACTGAAAGACCCTATTTTGACAAAATTTAGTAGAACATATGTATATTTTCATCTTTTAATTCTCAATTGCATTTTGTGCCTTCCATTCAAAAATCTGTAGTGATCTGAGACTAGGTAGTAATACTATGATATAATGTTTCAGTTTGATTGTGAATCGACCCTTTCCACGTTCTTTCATATATTAAATAAAATATTGGGTTATCACATAATAATTACCAGCTGCTACTGGGTGTCAATGAGAACGTGAATAGTCCCCCTCCTCTTAACTATTGAATGAAACAAGATATCAAGGTCAGACAGGCACATCTTATTCTATCCATGAGTTCTGAAATGAACTATAGTTGTGTAGTGTACACTTCAGATGTGCCCAAGAGGCTGCCATGTTTTCTGGAGACTTGGACTAAATGGACAAGTCAGCAGCTCCCAAGCAGCAGCTCCCAAGGTACCAAACAAACCTCAGATGTCACGTATTTTCTCAGAAACATCTAGAGGTGTTGTAACAGGTGACCATATCGTTTACCTATCTACCGATTTTGGTAAATGACAAACCCAAATGACTTTTGAAATGATATTACATTTCAGCTAGAAGTGGCTAAATAACAATTACCCAAACCGGTTATTAGTCAAACATGGTTTCTTAGAATGACCCACTAGATAACCTGATATAATACATTTTTTTGTGTGGTGCGAAATCCAAAGTATACATAGGGTATCACCCTATAAACATTCCATAATGTAGGAAATGAAGTTGTAAACAAACTTTGTGATTGTCATAAAGTGAATGTTGATTATTTCAAACATTTACTGGGATAAACTGGTGTGAGTTGTGAATTTTTTTTGATATAGGAGATTATTAATGTCAGATGAATTTGTCCAGTAAGTATATTCAATGTATCCATCCACGTTCTAAAATACGATTTATCCATTTCCATTCTCAATATGTAATACTTACGGTACTTAGGAAGCGCAAAACATCACTGGCAACATTCTCGCTGGCTATTTCTTTAGTAGGAGCAGGTGTTCCGACGATTACTTTCCCATCAGCCAAAGTTATCTGTGCTTGGGTCAATTTGTCATGGGTAGTAAAATATTGATATCGAGGCAAACCCAAAGAGTTTGTTTGATAATAAGTCAAAAGTTTGATACTTGCAGGAGTATCGGCATCAGTCTGAAAGAATTATTATATCAACCACAATACATGTTTGATAAAATATAAAATATGAAAGGAATAGCAAGATTGAAATCACATATTTCTTTAAATTCTGAGATATACTCTTCAATGTTCACTTTCAAAATTTTTTAATTTTGCTCACCCCAAAAATCTTTCAATATTCAATCATAATAATATGTGATGAATATACTCTGACGATTATTTAAAGAAGAATAAGTACACACAAGATTAAGAAAACCTTCCTTCAATTACTATTCTTTTTGAGAAGTTTTTTCTGGTACACTCATACAGCTAGATTTCGGTTCATAAATACTATTTTCTTTCAATCATTTATTATAAAGTTTTACATTTGATAAAATTAACAAATGATGTTTACAGAGCCACACACAAAGAAATAAATAAATCAGAATTATAAGGAATTTGTGAAAATAAAAAAGCCAAAACAAATTTTCCGATGTTTTCAGGTTCATTAGGCATGGTCTGCAGGTTTTTAAACCTTTCGCCTGCTACTGCGGCAGACATTATCAAAGGCGATGCGCAAACTGAAAATGGTCGTAGTGCGTTTGTACTTATAATTTAGGACTAGGTGTCGGACGGCAGACTGCTCTTGTACCTACCTGATAGGTCTGACACTTCTTTAATTATTAGCAGAATCTTTGTATTATGAAGGGCCGGTATCCGAGTCTTGTTGATCTGTAAGCTTTCTTTCTTATGTTTGAAATTATTCTTATGTTTACTTATTTATATGGCCTCTCTGCATAGCGGATAGTATTCTCTTGTTTTATCAAGAGCTTGCGTGCGTTCGAAGGCAATGTCATGGCTGCCTTCTGAGAGAGCCTGTTCTGCAAGTGCCGATTCATCTGTTTGACCATAGCGGCAACCTCTTTGATGCTCAGTCAAACGCATTTCAACGCTTCTTTTCGTGGTTCCGAGACAGAGAGGAAAATCGTAAATTATTGGTAATTATTTAGGAAAAACAAAATAGAGAAAGAGAGGAAGATCGTGAATTATTGAGGAGAAACAAGAAAAAGACAATGCACCTTCATTTATTTGAAGATTGAAAATATTCTCGAGTAAGTAAAGGGGAGGTAGAGGAATTCATTCAGGAATAATTCGAAAAAGTATTTCAGGAAACAAAAGCAGTCGATCAGGAGCTTGAAGGGGTTGAAAGGACATTTGAAGAGGAGCTTGAAGGAGTCAACAAAAAATTTTGAAGAGGTTTTCCGGGAACTTCGGAAAGAATCACAGGAGCTGAAGAGGATTGCTGTGGAAAAATGCAAAACGGAAACAACATCTCTCCTTTCTAGCAGTAGTTCTACTAAAACTCCAACCTTTGATGACGAATTTTCATGGTCAATTTAACGCGGAGGCCGCTGCGGTAAATAATGTATGGAAAAATGATGAGAAAGCAATAACTCTTATACTGGCACTATAAGGAAAGGCCTTCAAAATTCTGCAAAATATTTCAGTGAAGAAGCAGAAGGATTATGAAGCAGTCGTATCAGCTTTGAAAGTCAGGTATGGTAGTGAGCACCCCTTTAACAAGTCTACCAAGCTCAACTGAAGGTGAGAACTCAAGGTCCATCCGAGAGTCTGCAGGAGTTTGGGGCTCGCCTATCCAGAAGAACACGATAACATCACCCACTGGTTTAGTGTCCCTAGTTTTATCGACGGGGTTCGTGACACAGATTTGCAGCAGTCGGTGAGGATAGCACGTAATGAAAAATTGAATGAAGCCATTTATGCCCTAGAAACGTTCTAGTGGGGGCCATTATCGAAAAGGATGATGAAGGAACATATCGATACATGGCAGGTATACAAATATTTGATGAATAGAAGGCAACCTGAATGCTATAACTGAAGCAGAGAGAGACATTCAAGGCGGGGCTGTTGATCACGTTCAAGATCCGAGGAAAGAAGAGACTGCTGTTCGAGATCACCCCAACGAGAGTGTCGGAGTTCAGAAAAAATTAATTGAGCCAGTGTTAGGATGACTCTTAAGAAAGGGCAAGTAATAGGCACCTGTGAATCGATTGAGAAAGTTGCAGTGCGCTCAACAACCTGCAAAGGAACTCATCGACTCATTCAGAAAGACGTGTGGAGCCATCTGTCTGAAGAAGAACTATGCAAGATCACGAGATTCGTAGAGGGAAAGAACGATTTGTTTGTGAGAGGCAAAATCATTGGTCAAAAGGATTCAGTTCAACATCGGATTGATACTGGCGATGCGCCAAGCCCATATGCCAACCACTGAGACGACTTCCCTTCGCAAAGCAGGACGAAGCTTCATCCATCATTAAGGACATGTCGGGCAATTTGGACTAAATTATTGATACCTAAATAACCGAAAGTGCGGATATCCTGTTGAATAAAAATTGGACGAGTTAGTGTTTTAGGAATTATTTTAGATTATCTCTTGATGATGTGAACTTGCATTTGCAATACATCTGTCAATTACCAATCAAATCATCTAAAGGAACAATTCGTTCAAGCCAGTCTCAACTCCCTACACTGTAGGTTAATATACTGACACCCATCAGAAAACAACTATTTCCCTGGCTAATACCAAAAGGGCGTTGAATTATATCCCTCAGCTGTCAGTGCAGGATTCTTCACTAAAGTTATTCCTGCATATGCTGTTGGCGACACAACTGCCGCAATATATTTTCAATTATTGAAACACACTTGCAGACCAGTTTCGGGCTGTTTGGCCACTCGTCAGTGCAAGGTAGTGTCTATCATCAACATAAAGTCGATGATTTCCGATTGTTGAAAATCGAATTCCTTCAGAGTATCACTCCTCGAACTAGGCTGAAGCGGACAACAAACAATGGGTTTGTCATCGACCCATCTGCCTGGAAAAGAGGTAACCAACCGCATATCCGAAATTTGCCCAATTCCTCGTATAAGGAGAGAAAAATTTTCATATATAGTCGGTGGGCATACTTGAAGACTGGCTATAAATCCAATCATCTAAAGGAACAATTCGTTTAGGCTAGTCCATTAACCTACAGTGTAGGGATTTGAGACTGGCTTGAACGAATTGGTCCTTTGGATGATTTGATTTATAGCCAGTCTTCAAGTATACCCACCGACTATAAGTGAATAGTTTTCTTTCCTTATACGAGGAATTGGACAAATTTCGGATATGCGGTTGGTTACCTCGTTCACAGGCAGATGGGGCGATGACAAACCTGTTGTTTGTTGTCCGCTTAAGCCTAGTTCGAGGAATGATACTCTGAAGGAATTCGATTTTCAATTAGCGGAAATCATCGACTTTATGTTGATGATATACACTACTTTGCACTGACGAGTGGCCAAACAGCCCGAAACCGGTCTGCAAGTGTGTTCCAATAATTGAAAATCTAATGCAGTAGTTGTTTTCTGATGGGTGTCAGTCCATTACCTACAGTGTAGGGAGTTGAGACTGTCCTGATCAAATTGTTCCTTTAGATGATTTGATTTATATCCAGTCTTCAAGTGTGCCCACCGACTATATGTGAAAAATTATCAATCAAATTTCCCATCTATAAACATGTGCTGTTTGTAGAAAATAAATATATACACTAATACATTTAAAAAAATATCAAATAACCTTTTCTCAATGCAGGAGCGTAGGGTGATATATAAAGCATCAATGAATCATAATCAAAAATCTTACCATGAATGTTCCAATAGGTATTTGTGAAGTGATTACATTTTTGTCATCAATATTGGGGTTTGGGGGCAATTTCTCATTTTTATCCACCCTTTTATCGACGGGTTTTGGGTTCTCACCGATTTTCAAAAGTTTTTGCAAGATATTTGTGTTGACTGTTTGTGTCTGAAAAAATTAGTTAGTTCAAAGCTAGAAGAAAAGATAAACAGAAAGAAGTATATTTTTAGGGGAGAATAATTTTTGGGAAAGAAAGGTTTTGATTTCCTACTTATCCATCTTTATACATCTTTTTGAAATTAATGCCATCGAATATTACACACTCTTGAAATTGAAACAATAGAACCAAATAAGTAAAATCATTCAACTATTGAAACATACCATTTTATTTTGTTCTTTTTCTTGCAATCCTCCGAATTTACCACCATTTTTGAAAACCGGCATGAAACAGTTGTTTCCTAATGAAATTACTTGATTTGAACTCTGGGGTTGTCTGTCATTCCCACAAATCTGATACAGTTGACTCTGATTATATTTGTTACTATTATGCTGCTGAACGGTACTATGTTTGGTAACATTTTGGTAAGGTTTGTTTTGCCACTGCTTAGAATCATGCCTCCTTGTAGAACTCTCTTTTTGGGTAGCAAGAAATTGGTTCGAAGTTGTTTGAGAAGGATAAATTTGCTGTTGTGAATTAGACAACTGATCAGAAGCTGTTTGCCAAGTGTAAACTTGCTGCTGCTGCCTAAATATTAACGAAAAACAGTACATCACAAACAAGTATTTAACAAACGATGCCTCATGAAGGATTCAAATAGCAATAAATTGTGAGATTTTCTCTAAAACCGTTTACAAAACTGCGACACAATAGCTTCTTCAAACGTTTAAAATACTAAGTTAGTATTGGAACACGTCCGAGGAAGCTATTGTATAATGAAACAGGTTTCGCAGTTTTCTAAACTGGTAAATGAAAATCTCACAACAAAGTATTGTAGATGTTCATCAAATATCAGCCAATTTTATCAAATATCTTATGAAGTCATATTTTTTATGTATAAGAACCCCATTTGCAGTTAATAACAAATGTGTTCATTTACAATTCACCTTGTATACAATTTTAATCAAAAATCTTCTAGGAGTTTCAATTATGATTTTTATTTTTGCTTAATTATTTGTGCAAGGTTTACTAATGCTTGACATTTTCAACTTAAAATGACGATCATTTATGATCCCTAAGTATTTTAGCAATTCCTTTTTTCCATAAGATATTTTCAATAGACTACTTACATGTACCTCATTATATTCCTTTGAATGCCAATTAAACCATTATATTTATTACATGTGATGATATGTGATGGAATTGGTTGACGTTTGCTTTTGTCACACATTTTCATAAATTACTATTTTGTTGCTTTTATAAGAACAGCGAAATTGCACAACTTCAATTTAATTCGATATCTAATGACTAAAATCTAAAAAGCACTTCAAAATTAGATAATGACATTATAAAACTTGACAGCACGAAAATGCTACTTGTGAAATGAAATAAAAATTTTTCTTTAGGTCCTGACGGTATTTCCTTTGACTTCTTGTATACTCCTTACCATATTCCGTTTTTCTCTAAATCACTAATTCATTGACCTGCGGTAAATTCACACAGATTTGTGGAAACGCAGCTTTTTATGTTATGGAACATGTATGAAGCTGGCCAATACTTCATGAAAATCAATATCAAAACTTACTAATATCTACTTCACTGTGATTTTCACTATGAAAGTGTTACAAAACTGTAACATGTGTTTTGCCGAATGATAGCTTTCTCAAGCAAGATTTGAACAATTCATATTGATTTTTACAGTAAACTGAATAAGTAACTACATACAGAGGAATGAAGTTACATAATTTGTTTGATGATGAATCATGAGCATTCCGCATCATGGTAACATGCCCAAATGGTTCACTAGCCATTTAATTTGTCTTTTTCAGTGAAAGTTTTTGTGAAGTGAAATGTCTTGAAGATGCACCTCTTCTCCAAAATGACTGGAATAGTATTGATGGTTGGTGCCAAACCAAAAGTTAAATGTAAGGATTTGGGTGTAATTCTAGATAACGAGCTCAAATGTGAATCCTAAGAAAACAAGAAATACAGAAATCTTTATAGTACCCTTTCATCGTACCAACTATGGACAGAATGAGGCTAGGGGTAAAATTTTGAGACTTGCAAACACAATGTGGATTCAGAACTTTTTGATTTTCCAGAACGTGAAATGAATTTCTTTATATTTATATTTACTATTACTATTGAGGAGAAAACAGTTTCATGATAATCAAATCAAAACCAAAGCCAACATGGACGATCATCAACTCAATCATGATAAATAGCAATATTAAAATTTGTGACAGATTCAATGATTACTTCCATCAGTAGTGCGAAAATTAGAAGAATGAGTTATCCAAAATCCATTTTTCTGAAGCCAGTAACTTAAGATAAAATAGAATACATGAATGAGTACAAAAAAGCCACTGGATTGATAACATCACAACCAATAAGTGATAAGAAGTGAGCATAAATGAATGTTTCTTGTATACATTCCTTGTATAAACCATTGTAGTTTCTTGGGAATTGATAAATGTTTATTAGATCCACCCATGTATGCATATTACGATTTTCTAAATGAAATTAATAAACAATCATGATTGTTAATCTAATTTTCCTGAAATGCTGAGTTTGACAAAAGCATTTGAAACTTTAATGTTTGGGAAAACATCATTTGTCACTGAATATGACTTCTATTTTTGGACTCACCTATTTTTATTTTCACATTTAGTTTCTTCAAGCTTTCTACAGCTCTTTTCTTGATGAGATTCTTGCCTTAAGATCTCCGTGTTTTCTTTTGTATTGTTGCTCTGTAATGGCTTGCTATTGTATTTTTTATCTGGAATAGATTCATACTGTTGCTGATGATTGGTAGGTTGCATTTTTTGTTGCACGGCACCTGTAAAGTGAGCAAAAGCCGAGTTGGACTGATTGAAATTGGTTTGGTTTGGTGGTGGTTCAGCATACGTTTGTAGTTGAGGAGGTAACCACTGTTGTTGTAATGAAGGTTGCTCTCTTGCATTCTCATTACCAGAATGTATTGCCTGTGCCTTAGATATTAGCTCATCTGAAAAATCAATATACATTATCAAAAAACTGCTGAATGGAGGATTGAAAATAACCTGTTTCTCCAGTTTTTTCCACCAACAACCTCTGGCCGTATGAAATATTGATGAATGATGTTTTTGGTACCCTATATCCTCTATCCTCCGAACAGTTCAATTTCATACCATCCTTGAAAGGTTTGTCAAATACAACATCATACATAATATCTCGTTCTGATCCAGTGTTAGCCACTTGTATCCCTATAACAGTACCCTTGAGGCCAAAAGGTACCGTGAAGCCCATTCTGACATTAACTATTCGATCTAGGATCTTAACATTCATCTTTGGATCAGGTAGCAATGTGCCACTCTGTATTTCAGGCTGGAAAAGCAAGTGTGAATATAGAGTTTCTCACTTTTGAGAAGTTATTAATAATAAAAATTATAAGTTTGTGATATTGATGACTTATTTATTTTGTGGAAATTCATCTTCAATTAAATTATAAGGCAATGTCATGGCTGCCTTCTGAGAGAGCCTGTTCTGCAAGTGCCGATTCATCTGTTTGACCATAGCGGCAACCTCTTTGATGCTCAGTCAAACGCATTTCAACGCTTATTTTCGTGGTTCCGAGACAGAGAGGAAAATCGTAAATTATTGGTAATTATTTAGGAAAAACAAAATAGAGAAAGAGAGGAAGATCGTGAATTATTGAGGAGAAACAAGAAAAAGACAATGCACCTTCATTTATTTGAAGATTGAAAATATTCTCGAGTAAGTAAAGGGGAGGTAGAGGAATTCATTCAGGAATAATTCGAAAAAGTATTTCAGGAAACAAAAGCAGTCGATCAGGAGCTTGAAGGGGTTGAAAGGACATTTGAAGAGGAGCTTGAAGGAGTCAACAAAAAATTTTGAAGAGGTNCATACAGGTAACAGATTCATTGTCCTTTATTAGCTATAACCGATGTTGCCAAATGGTGAAATAGAAACGAATCCCTTTAAATGTTGAATGCATTATTTCATTCCTCTTTTTTAAGTATTTAAATATTTTTTTAAAGAAAAAGGTTGAAATGATAAGTTTAAAATGCGTTGTTTTAGAGCTCTTTTATGAAAACTACTTGATTTTCGTCAGGAGGAACATTCCCCATTTAGACATTGTTCGGTAGGAGCCAAGAGCTTCCAACGCCGCTTGACTGTCCGAGAATATTTTTAATACTTGTGTATGAGGTTAGATTCTTCCAATCTCTTCCCACAGAATTCAATAGCGTAAATTTCCGCTTGAAATACAGTCGCATAGGTTCCTAGGCAGGTTGATCCACCTGTGAACCAACAACTATCTGCTCTTAATATAATAATAAGAAAAAGTTTAATGTTCAATTGCAGATTAATGCACTTACTAGTCGTCACCAAAAATCTTCTCTACATTGATATTGTCAAATGAGGGATTGTTAGATAAATGGAAGAAAACTTCTGGAAACTGGTCGGCATAGGATTTTACTAGTTCTCCGGATTTCTCTGTATAATACCAAGTATTACCAATTTTCTTAGTATATCCAGGAATCTCCTTATTCTTTTTATTCATTTTTAAATCCAAACCTATATTAGTATGCTTCATTTCTCCTGAATTATTCTTAAGTGAAATGAATACTGAGCCAGTAATTCTTGAGAAAACATTATTGGAAATGGCTGAAAGTGAAAGGCATGTTCAGGTGAAAATCAAATAACCAGAAAATGGAACTTACCCAATTGACTTGCAATACCGTAGGAAGTCTTGTAACTTCTGGACATTTTATTATACAGTTCTGTTATTTTGCTGAAGTTTGGTTCTTCTAGTACTGACAGTACTATTTTCACCCTACAGCTTTTGTCTGTTTGTATGATATCTTTTACCTGAAATCGTTAAAATATTATTGAATTATTTAGATCTTGATTCATCATATTTGAAAATGTTCAGCATGATTCCAATTAAAATTGAAATATGAGGTATGTTTAGAAAATAACGGGAATTTTAAAATTTGACTGGTTTGGAGAGTCCGGTGGTCAATTTTTTTATGATTATGTTGGCATACATGTCTTTGGAGTATGATCAAATTTTAAGCTGCATTCATTGTTTATTTTGTGTGGCAGCTGCTAAGGTTATACGTGTTTCTAAGAGCTCATAGTAGCTGTATCAAATTTCGCATAAAAATGAAATGTAATCAAAGGCCTTTATTGAGACCGCTATGAGTAAAACAAGAGTTTGACTTAGTATAAGCGTTTTCAAGATGAACGATCGGTGTTATGACCGATCGCCGAATCACAATCAGAGAAGTCACTGATGATTTGCGTGAAGGAATCCGAAAAAAACTACTGGATTTATTATTCACTTGCTCACTCTTCATTGCTTGTTCTTGTTCTTGGAGAAATTGTTGGAAATGGCTGTATACAACTAATGAAATATATTAACAAGAACAATATCCTAATAACAAACCAATCTGGATTTCGAAAGAATTTCTCCTGTGAAACCGCTCTACAACTGACTGTTACCAAGTGGATACAATCAATTGATAAGGGAGAATACGTTGTTGCAGTTTTTCTTGATTTACGAAGAGCATTCGAGACAATTGATAGGAATATCCTTTTAAAAAAATTAGAATTAATTGGGATTAAAGGGGTTGTGCTAAATTGGTTTAAAGATTATTTAAATGATCGACAACAAGTCACAAAGATTGAAAGTGAATNTTTGTACTTGAGGAAAAAGGTTCATTAAACAAAACTCACCACTCCCTGTGATCCATAATGTGGGTTTGTGATTGAATAACAAATGCTGCCTTTGCGGAAGATTTCTTCAACATCTTTGAAAATCGATTGGTGTGAATCATATGCAGATATATTGAATACAATGGTTTGCAAAGGGTAATGCGATAGGTTCGTGGCAAATTGTTTCTCCAAGGTTATTCTACCGTTTGGAGAGAAAATATATTTTCGACCTATCATGACCTGCACATGAACCAGAACTTTGGTTTCCCCAAAATTTATGCCCAAACGCCTTCGGTAGCTGAAAATTACAGATTGATGACCATAAATTATGCCGGTTATAGCAACTAGTTCAACAATACAAATAGTGTAAGGAATCACACGTTAAAAGGTAAGACCTCGTATAGCGNGTTAAAAGGTAAGACCTCGTTAGTCCTTAGCTCGCACAAGTTTCTCAACTTCTTAGAGTTGTCGTTCGTATGGGGGCGACAGCTGATTAACGGAAAAACAGACAGAACAGAATAGTGCACTTTACATAATAGTTTAAATTCTAGTAAATATTCTTTGGAAATATCATAATAAATGAAAGAGCACTGAAAATAACGTATTAAGAAAAACGTGAAAAAGATGGTTATCATGCGAGAAATCAGGGAAGAAATAGAATCGTCAGTTAATTCATCGATAAATAAGTGCCTGAATAGTCTTCTAATAAGAAGGAAACACCCTTTCCTTGTATGATAGGTTGAAAAGTCTGCAAAATACTGGTGCGAGTTCATTTGCGCACTTTTTAAGTACGATGACGGGCACCTCATCAGGACCAGGGCCTTGTTGATATTGAGCTGTTTCAAAATTCGCCTGAATAGACGTCGAAAATTAATTTCAAGCATTGTGGATTCTAGTGTGAGAATAGTGGGACGTGCTTTTCCCAGAAAATCGACTGCGGAGTGGGACGCAAATTGTTCAGCTAGTAGATTTGATTTTTCTATGGCTTTTGTTGCAATGTTGTTGTTGTAGCATAACAATGTCAAGGCACACAATTTCGCTTAAGCATCGATTAATTTGCTGGGTGTTGAAATTAATAACAATACGTCTTGACACAAATACGTTGCTGAAATATTACATCTGGAACTCCGCTGTCGACACCATGAAATAATTATTTCATTTACAATCATCTGGCATTTGAGAAAAGTAGATAACATATTAATTGACATGATAGAACCAATTACCACGAATTGTTCCCTTGTTCTAATTAATCAATACTCACTATTCTGTAATTCCTTGAATTTCCTGACTAAATTGATTTAATGACGGTTGATCTTCTGCATTATATTCACCAGGTCCACCCATACTTATGAACTTTCTTTTGGCATTGGAAATCATGATTACCCTAAAATTTATATGCAAATATTGAGCAGAACAATCTTTTCACTTCAGATGCATTTCAGAGAGAATAAATAAATCAATTTTGAATTAAAAAATCTATTCTTTTGAAAAAATCAATATCGAAATAATTAAAATATTTCCAAAAACAGGGTACCCATTTTTCATAAGTGATTTTTTCTAAATAATTTGGCACTTTACCCGTAGATAAAAGCATATGCAGTGCAACACAGTGAATTTTGTGAATGATAATCATGTTGTTACTACTACTAACCTTAGTTTTGAAATAATTTGAATTTTGATCATTCTACCAGGTTTGGAATGCTATCTTGAACCGGGACAGAAGGGGTTCTTATTGAAACATTACATTACAGACAATAATTGAAAAAACCGACAATCAATTCGTTTGGACAAGAGGAGTTTTCAAGTGAAGATTCCATTCCTACAATGTTCTCTGTGAAAAATTCTGAGAAGATTTAAAAAAATTCAATTGATTTATGACCACAAATATATCATAATAATTCAATGATAAACCTCCAATATTTTACCCAAGATATTCTACATTGAATTATACATTTTCATATAAATCTCAAGAACAAACATTGGTACCTATATTCAAACCTGTTGATCAACCAAAAGGATTTCCTATCTATAAATTTCAAGACCAATTTAGTCAAAGAAATACGGCTAAAAGAAATAAGTCATTACAAAATTCCAAAACAGTTAGATTTCAGAGTTGTTGATTTATATTTTTAGCTTCACCTAATTTTTTCACTTGAAATAATTTTAGAAGCTAACAACACACGTTTCAATCACAAAGAATTTCAAGAAGAATAAATCACATATTTTTTGTATTCTACAACTTTAACTCATATCAAAACTCAACTTTTATTATTCAAATATACACACATATCAGGTTGTTCACAGGTGAAAAGGACACGCTTTTTCAAGTTACCTTGGATTGAAACAGAAGGCTACTTACTTAGCTTCTACAAGATGTGGCCAACCCACAAAGATTGTAGTTCCCAGAAGATCCACTGGGATTGCATCACTAGCAAACTTTTGATTTGGAATTATGGAGATGATCATATTTTCATGTCTGCTTGGAGTTTCAAACACTTTCACATTTGCTGCCATCAATTCTCCCTGTAATTAGAATATTTCAATAAATGAAACGGATCTTTGTAACCAGCATCTATCATGATAAAAAAAGTTGAACCTTGTATTTCAAATGTTTCATAGTTGGGAATCCCGGATAAAAAACATTCATCTTGACACCGGGATATGCACCCTTCACCAATTTCTCTTTGGGAATTCTGATGTCACTGTACAACATTTTTTTGACTTCAGTGTAATTATGAGGAAGTTCAGGAAAATAATCGGGAGCGGCATAACGTCCTTGATCTCTTGGAGTATACATATAGATCAGCATCGGCCCATGAGAGTTCCTATTCTTTTCTTCAGTGGTAAGCTTATCATTACAGTAACTCATAGCTTCAAGCAGGAGATTCTAGAAAAATTAAAGTAATTGTAGAGAATGTTGCATCTCACTAGTTTTAAGATTTGTCGCCCAATGAAGGTTTCTGTCACGTAAATGTCACGATAGTTTCAAGTAGTTATTGAACCGAAACATATTCATTTGTCACATATAGTCAGTGATCATACTTGAAGACTGGCTATAAATCAAATCATCTAAAAGAACAATTCGTTCAGGCCAGTCTCAACGACCTATACAGTAGGTTAATGGACTGACACCTATCAGAAAATAACTACTCCCCTGGCTAATACCACGAGGGGCGTTGGTTTATATTCGTCAGGTGTCGGTGCAGGATTCTTCACTGAAGTTATTCCTGCATATGCTGTTGGCGATACAACTGCTGCATTAGATTTTCAATTATTGGAACACACTTGCAGACCGGTTTTGGGCTGTTTGGCCACTCGTCAGTGCAAGGTAGTGTATATCATCAACATAAAGTCGATGATTTCCGATAATTGAAAATCAAATTCCTTCAGAGTATCATTCCTCGAACTAAGCTGAAGCATACAACAAACAACAGGTTTGTCGTCGCCCCATCTGCCTGTGAACGAGGTAACCAACTGCATATCCACAATTTGACCAATTGTTCGTATAAGGAAAGAAAACTTTTCACATATACTCAGTGGGCATACTTCAAGACTGGCTATAAATCAAATCATCTAACGAACAATTCGTTCAGGCCAGTCTCAACTCCCTACATAGTAGGTTATTGAACTAACACCTATCAGAAAACAACTTCTCCCCTGGCTAATACCACGAAGTGCAAGGTAGTGTATATCATCAACATAAAGCCACTGACGAGTGGCCAAACAGCCCGAAACCGGTCTGCAAGTGTGTTCCAATAATTGAAAATCTGTTGCGGCAGTTGTATCGCTAACAGCATATGCAGGAATAACTTCTGTGAAGAATCCTGCACTGATACCTGTCGGATATAATTCAACGCCCTTTGTGGTATTAGCCAGGGGAGTTGTTGTTTTCTGATAGGTGTCAGTCCATTAACCTACTGTGTAGGGAGTTGAGACTGGCATGAACGAATTGTTCTTTTTAGATGATTTGATTTATAGCCAGTCTTCAAGTATGCCCACTGACTATATGTGAAAAGTTTTCTTTCCTTATACGAAGAATTGGGCAAATTTTGGATATGCAGTTGGTTACCTCGTTCACAGGCAGATGAGGCGACGACAAACCTGTCATTTGTTGTATGCTTCAGCTTAGTTCGAGGATTGATACTCTGAAGGAATTTGATTTTCAATTATCGAAAATCATTGACTTTATGTTGATGATATACACTACCTTGCATTGACGAGTGGCCAAACAGCCCGAAACCAGTCTGCAAGTGTGTTCAAATAATTGAAAATCTATTGCAGCAGTTGTATCGCCAACAGCATATGCAGGAATAACTTCTGTGAAGAATCCTGCACTGACACCTGTCGGATATAATTCAACGCCCTTCGTGGTATTAGCCAGGGGAGTAGTTGTTTTCTGATAGGTGTCAGTTCATTAACCTACTGTGTAGGGAATTGAGACTGGCCTGAACGAATTGTTCTTTTAGATGATTAGATTCATTTGTGAAACAAGAAATGATAATAAAAATATAAATCAAAAACATAGTTCACTTGAAAGCTAAATGTAAATCAAAACATCAAACCAGAGATTACCTTCAATTCTTCTAAAACATTTCAGTTGAAGTGTCAAAAACATTCAGATTTACATAATTAGCTAAACGTTACATATGAGAACGAGGGCTGAAATATGTATAATTTGTTCTTGGCTCTGGGCAGCAAACTGAACCAGAAGGGATTTAAACAAAGAGAAAAGATCTAAGTGTGAAGGGTGGGCAGATTTATAATAAATCAAATATCAGAAAAATTTGTTAGTTTCAACTGAAAGTTGTAATTCGAGAAATTTATTTTTTACACACTCAAATAAACTGATATAGGCTTCATAATTAGGAAACAAAGTGTTCGACATTCAATAACAATAACAATAATGCTTGAAAGGTATTTCAATTCTTTAAACAACTTTTACTATTTCGAATTTGGAGTTGTGGAGTTATTGACATATGAATTGGAGACTAGGAAAAATTATTATTTGTAACTTTGCAACCAAAATAAAATTAAACGATTAAGGATGATTAAATGAAAACAAGAACATTTACTAATATTCAGGTTCATACACCAGGTAGACAACTGACTTAGATTATTTTTTAGTTATGATGTACTTCACTATGCTTCTGAAAAGTAACCAAAATATTTTTTGATAAACCAGAAGGTTGATAACAGTTAATTTTCCTTTACAAAACCCATGCCGCTCTTCAAAGATAATGTTTTTGCTATGCCTTCAATTATTAGGGAAGTATTAGACAGAATGTACAGGAGATAATTAATTGTACAGATACTTTTCTTTGAGAAAATGTTATGCCATCCGGATAACAGGAGTAGTTAGAATTGCTATTGCTATTAACTCCATAGTCAAATAGTCATATTCTATATAATTGATTTCAACTTGGTTCGTAAAGTTAAGAACATGATTACCTCATTTAAAGTTACTAAAGACACCAGAGAAATGTCCTGCAAATAAATCAACACCTTTCATTCCATTGTTAGCCATGCTTTTAAACCATTTATGATGGGTACATGTATTCCTTATTTGATTTCAAAATAAGTCTGATGACTAAACAACACATTTTCTAGCTAATATCATGAAAGCTTTGAATTACACCCAACAGACATTTGTGCAAATTTCCTGACAGAAGACATTTGTGAAAATGCTTCTTGTATTTTCCTGTTTATACCATGAATTTAAAACCGATAAAATACATAAACTATCTGAATTATAAATTTCATGGACAATTTTGGAGTGACTGAATATATTTTGGTTGATGACTAATTCATTAATTTTCAATTCACCTCATCGATAAAAGGCACCAATACAACTGCCTCCCAGTCTTGCTTCTTTCCATTCAAATCAGTCTGGAAATCATCAGGATAATATTTCTTTATTAGTGAATTTTCTTCTGTCATCAGCTCATGATAACAACGAGGAAGGAGGTTTTTGCTAGCAGTTGGAAGAACACCCAGTAGCTAAAAAAAGGTGAGATTAGTACTGGAAAAATCATATCTCCATAAAACTGATTCAATTCGTTTATGAAAAGTTTAATGAAATAATAATATTATGGAATAAAGAAATGACTGTAGGAAAATATAGAAACTTCATTTCCTCACTTGTTCATAAGGCAAGAAAGGTTTGCCTAGGTCGAACTCTATTTTCAAATTAGAGAATCCCTTTATGTCTGATATGTAAGGGGCATAATGATGTGGATAATACCATGACCAAGAACAGCAACCATTATAATAGTAATTCAAATTCCATTGTATGGCTCTCACATACCCCTCGGCTTGGTCTCTCATGACTTCTCTGAAAGAAAATAATTATTTCCCTATAGTAGTAGTCATTCAAATTTTTGTCAATAATAGCTGAATATAATATAATATTAACATGACTTGACTAATATAAGTGTCACATATACAATGAATTTTAGTTTATGAAAGTAGATTAAAACAAACTCAATGAATTGGGTTATATATTTGATAAACAGTCGAAATTTTATCATTACTGCAGTTGTTGCATGTGAACTACAGAATACAAATAATTCTCCAGTGTAGATCCCGATTCTGTGATTATATTAGGATAAAAAGTAGGTAATGTTAGGTTAGGTCAAAAGTGAGTGGGTCTATTCGACCTCCACCGCAACCTGCAAGGGTGGTGGTAACAGGCCTCCTCACAGTGACTTGTGAGGAGGTCTGTTAGAGATCGTAGTTCATCCCTACTGTATACCAACAACTGGTTTAAAGCTTCGAAGGGTGCATGACCCCTTGGAGTGACCCAATCCTGGAAGATTTTGCCAGAAGTCTTTTTGCCATCCAGGTGTTCAATGTTTATTTGGCAAACCCTAAAGCGATGCCAATGACAGGTTCTGATCCTATAAAGCTACTGCAGCACCCTCCTTCGCAAGGGAGTCAGCAGCCTCATTGCCTTCCAGGCCAGTGTGGCCAGGAATCTAGACCAGACAATTTGTTAAGTCTTCCTATTGAGGAGAGTCGTTTTTGGCAATTTGCTACCAATTTAGACGTTGCTCGGTAGGAGCTTCCAACGCTGCTGTTAATATTTTCTTTTTCCAGAGGATCCAGTCCTCTCTACTAAAGGACAAGTACTGTGATGAAATTGTATCGATAGTTAATTTGAAAGTGAATAGACAGCAATGAGATTTTTTAATACTGTTTCTTTCAACTAATTCTGTTTTTTTTCTCTCCAATCACTTGAGTGTTAAGAAATGGAAATATGTTTCAACATGTAGATATTCTCAGCTGTACGCCAATTGCTGTTAGGTCCAAAAAAATAATTTGCTTGATTTTAGTTCATATGAATATGTTTATTGGAACAATATATAATATTGTTTCGTATTTACTTTATATTTTGATTATGCTTTTATGTTATACAATTTTTGTTTTTTTAATATCGTATTTTTAAATTTTGATCAGGACTACATATATTATAAATTTGAATTGAACAGAAGAATTAGTCATTTTCGCGAAATAAACATTGAATAGAAAAAATGTATTTAGAATTTTTGCTATGGATAAATTTAGTTAATTTGCAACGACTCTGAATGTCAACTGTAATCGATACACAGTGAAAGTACTGAAACGATTTTTATAATTATTCTTATTTACAAAGCATTATTATTACACAAAGCATATTACAAAGCATTATTCAGAAGTAATGGCTACTTTTTATCCAAATATACTCAAGTGGGAACGGCTCTGGGAGGGTGAATGAGATAATTCAAATATTATTTTAACAAGCTATATACTATTAGGTATTGGTCAACCACTGTTATTCATAATATTATTATGTTTACTTCTTTCTACACTCTTGTAAGCATCTAGATGCCTGGTGTTGTTAACTTGTCTAACTAATCTTAATGAACTAAAGTCTATGGAATGGTTTTGTTGCAAAATGTGATGAGCGACTGCTAATTTTTCTGGTCTTCCATATTTTAGGCGTGCTATGTGTTTTTTATATATTATTTTAATAGATTTTTTTGTCTGTCCATAATATTTTGCATCGTAGTCCTTACATTTCTGTTCAATCTGTTTAAAATCTGTTTTTCCGTTAATCAGCTGTCGCGTCCATACGAACGACAACTCTCAGAAGTTGAGAAACTTGTGCGAGCTAAGGACTAACGAGGTCTTACCTTTTAACGTGTGATTCCTTACACGTAAACTCCAGACTTTGGATTTTCTAAAAGGCTCTGTAGTGTATGACTTGTTTTAAATACCACCTTCATACCTTAAAAATATTTCCAAAAATCATTGTGTATTGGTGGTATGGAACTCAGATATATTTATCTTGGTTTTCATCGTTTCTAAAAGTCGAGATTTCGTTCTTTCTTAACCTGAACTTTTTCTTCCTTATAATATCCAATACCCCACTTAGCACACCTATAATATGGAAGACCAGAAAAATCAGCAGTCACCCATCATATTTTGCAACATTCATTCCATAGACTTTAGTTCATTAAGACATATTGTTTCTAGAATAAATGTAGAAATAAATAATATTATGAATAACGATGGTGGACCAATATCTAATAATATACTATATAGCTTGTTGAAATAACATTTTTATCATCAGATTTTCCTGGCTATTAGATAAGGCCACATCATAGAATTAATACAAGACTAGTAGATAAGGCAACATTGTAAAATTAATTTAAGACAATTAAGACACTGTTACCTAGCAGAGATAACTATGGTATAAATAAGGACGGTGGACCAATATCTAATAATATACTATATAGCTTGTTGAAATAACATTTTTATTATCAGATTTTCCTGGCTATTAGATAAGGCCACATCATAGAATTAATACAAGACTAGTAGATAAGGCAACATTGTAAAATTAATTTAAGACAATTGAGACACTGTTACCTAGCAGAGATATCTATGGTATAAATAAGGACAATATTGTATGTATATTTAGTTTAATCTTCCTCTTGGAGATGATCACCTGGTGATCGAAACACGTGTTAAGGTGTTAAAAATAACGGTTTGGTGTTGGGATAAAATCCACTACTTTTTGTAAACATATTCATAATACAATTATAATATATAGATTAACTTACGGTGTAACTTGCTTGTATTCCAATTTATTTCTGTAATATTCTCTTTTGTAATTGATGAAAGCTTCATCTTCTTCAGACTGACTCGTTTCAGTTTCCTCATCTTCATCAGAAATGGCAAACTGTAAAATATTGAAGCAATATTTTGAAATAAACACCTGACATTTCAGATTCTAACTCACTGTTTCAGTTTCTTTTATTAAAGCTGCCAAACCACTATCTCTGGGATGTTCTGATTCGAGAGATTCTGAAGGTTCGTTGCTTTCATTTTCATCTTCAAGCTCTTCCCCATTCAGATTTGTCTGGAAAAAGATATGTTCAGTTATGTAAATGTAAATATACATATGAAAAACAATCAAGTGTAAAATTACAACGCTGTATTCAAAATGAAAAAGAAATGTGACCCTTATGGCAATTCAAACAATTTTTAAAATATGAAAAGTGATTTCCCAAAATAGGAAATCGACTTTGATATACAAAACATTTTATTATGCATTAATAAATAAAATATCACAACTCTGCCTTGGCAGACAGTGAGAACTACAGGTAAGTACACCGCCCATAAAGCCAGTCTCAAGCCTGAAGAAAAGAGGTGGCATGGCCTGTTGAAAGAGGCAACTAGAAAGGGAGTCTAATACAATGGTGTTATGTGACTTGTGCCAAAGGATGAATGGTTCCTGGATTATCAGGTATCCTCAATGAAGCTCCTGAGATACCAAGCGACCTCTGAAGAGTATGTGAACAACCCTTTTCTCCATTACTCATAAGAATTTAATGAACCACAAAAATGAATCGAGTTTTCTGACTTACAATGAGAGTAGTAAATGCTAACCTAAAACACAGTAAAGGGGTTTCGAAGGTTACAGGAATGTTCTATTCCTGAGCCTAGATGGAAAAGATTATGGGATGGGTTAATTTATAACTGTATTGACATGTGTGTATGATTTTTGAAGGTTATATAATTTCAACTTCCTGATTATTTGATTATGTTTGACTAGTTTGTAATAAGTATAATGCTAACAACCAACGAAAATGAATTTGTATCAATCTGTTGATGAATATATTATTTCACAAGGTTCAAAATATTATTATTACCATTAAAAACTGTGAAATAATGAATGAAATCATCGATCATAGAATCTCATTGATCTAAAATAGAGAACCAAAAATACATAATGCATAATGATTATTAAAAACAAAAAGTAATAATCACCGAGACTTTGGAATGTCCCTTGTATTTTCTGCCAGTTTTCTCTTCCATGTAGAGCAAATCATCCCTTATTTCTTCAAAATTATCTAGATCTAACTGTCCGAGTTTCTCCATGAATAATTCAAATCTTTCCAAATTCAAAGCACCAGCTTCATTTATGTACCCTAGAACAACATAAAAAATTTAGTTGAATATATTATAAATTTGAATTGAACAGAAGAATTAGTATATCGACGCGAGCCGAAGGTCATTTTTCGCCAGTAACTTATTTTTGGCATAGAAAGATTCATTTATGATAACAAAAAACATGTCATAACAAAAATCAATGAAAAAAGTATTGAAAAATATTTTTAATTTTTCATATTTGATTCAATTTGAAACAGTTTGGAAACTGTGTGGATGAAAAAATTAAAAAAAACTGCAGTTGGTGTGAATTAAATCTGTTTAAAAAAAATATGTTTTTTCGTTAATCAGCTGTCGCCCTCATATGAACGACAACTCTCAGAAGTTGAGAAACTTGTGCGAGATAAGGCCTAATGAGGTCTTACCTTTTAACGTGTGATTCTTAACACGTGATTCCTAACTACAATAAATAAGCTCAGAATTCAACACCTACTCTATGCAAGTTCTTACAGATATAATATGATATAATAACATAAATGAGTTTTGAATCATTTTTTTTTTAAATATTACTGGAGTTTTTTCCCAACACCAAACCATTATTTCAATACCTCGACACGTGTTTAGATCACCAAGTGATCACATCTTCAAGAGGAAAATCAAAGATTGAGATCTTGATCTTGAAGATGATCACTTGGTGATCGAAACATGTGTTGAGATGTTAAAATAACAGTTTGGTGTTGGGAAAAACTCCAGTAGTATTCATTACTACACTAAAGGTTCCAAACAGTGCATCACAAGTACAACCCTCTTTTTTTGTTATCGAGTGACGAACTTTTCAGAAATGTGAGTTTCTTTGCTACATTAAAAATGTCTGATGAAATTCACACATTTTAATTTCAGAGTCCACATTTGTATTCTTGTTTTTAGTTATAAACTCCATATTTCAAAACAAACTGCCCAATGACCAAATTTAAGTTGGTGAACTCTTAAGGCTTACTTATGATTGAAAGTAGTTGAAAAAACAACTGAAAAATTATGAATTTGGTCATCTATGGTTGGCCTCGAAGGTAGTAGTAAGTTATGACTCTGATGAACTGTGATTGGTTGAAAGGTGTGAGTTATGGAAAATGGATAACATTTACTTACTTCCAAAATGTTTCAATGACATATGTCCAATACACCTTCTATCTTTATTCTCAAAGAATAAAAACAAAACAAATTAAATCATATTTGGAAACAGCTAACATACACACGATTCTTTTGAAATATTTCAATGATATCACAAGTTCTAGGGACATATCAATGATCTAATTTTTGGTTATGCATATTAACAAATTTTCATCTTTATCTCTATAATGTATCGGTTCAGTTCAGAAGAAAAAATTGGACATGTATATTGATAACTCTATCTCCTTTGAATAATATGCCCTTTCAAATTGATATTCTTATATAAATTCCAGTTCCAGCTATCTCGAAATACAAAACTGAAACAAATGCAATCATTAATTTATCCTCACCTTGGGAATTGCAGATAATTATTACAACTTCCCAACAGACTTACAATAAATAAAAACTGAAGTTTATGTAAAATGCTTGCATGAGATTTGTGTGCATCATTCTTATGTGACCATTATGTGAATGGTCATGTAATACATAGTCCTAGCTTTCTATGTAATTGGATTTTGTACCTAACTCTTTGTTAATTAGACCCATTTGCGGTTTCAAATAGCAACAGATGAACAGTTGATCAACATTTTTAGAAATAAAGACCATCTCTTTCCTTGTTCCATTTACTGGAACTGCCAATTAGTCTAACATAAGAATCACCTCCATAATAACCTTAAACTCAATGATATTTTTTGCTCAAACAGTTTGATCAAAAACTGTTCGTTGTATCCTGATTATCGTTAATATTTTTTTTTTATTCTTAGCAATTCCGATATGATTATGGTTCTGAATATACATTCGATGAATTTACATTATTTGAAAGGAATGAGAGGAGGTTTGATGAAAATTATTGACCAACATATCATTGTTGGAAACAATGTTACAGTTAGAATATATCAATAAAATCAGAAGTGGTTACGAGTTACACATACTAGGTAAGAAATGGATCGAGTCAGAAGTGCTTAAAAGGGTTACTTGAATAAAAAAGGAATGGTTACAAGTTACAACACATGAAGAACATACTTACCATTCAAAGACGGTAATATGTCCATGTATGCTTTATATAAAACAGGCAAAGCTCCATTTGCTATATGTAAGTTTGGCAAGTGTGGAATGAAATCATTTCCAACCAAAAATCCCATCAAAACCTAAAAGAAATTCATGTGCAGTGATTTTCATGGTGAATTTTAGTCCGCAAAGTTTTTCTAATTAAATAAAATGAAACAATATATTTGTGACTAAATTTTTGTTTTTTTCATAAACATACCCAATCGTCGATAATTTTTTCAAAATCATAATCGAATCCTCTCAACTTGTTTTTCAAAGGGGCAAATTCTAATTCCAGGTATTCCCTCATTAGAGATAAGTGTAGAAGGTAAAACGTAATTTCTTCTGGAACACTCATTCGTTTTGTAGATTTTTTTCCAAATTTCACCTGGAATTAAAGAAAATTATAAATTGACTTCACATGTCGATACAGGATTATAAAAAATATTTTGAAAACTATTGGGTCTTTTGAACTTCTGAAGCTATTCAACCATTGCCGGCAGACTACCATATTGAATTAGTGTCAGCTCTTTGCTCCATCTTGTGAATACCGTTGAAGTACAAAATAGTTATTTCAAAACAAGCACTTGCCAACTCCTATGAATAGAAATCCTCCAACAAGATTGTAAAAAATGGGAGAGAAGAAATGCTAACAGTTTATAGACAGTGTGTCCAAGATAAGGAGGCTAGCATGTTTCGCATTACGCAAACAAACAATCATAAGTCACGATTTGTGGGGTTCTAGTGTTCGGTTCTGGATCTGGTTCTTTCCTTAATTTATATTCAGATATATATATTAGGTAGGTTTAGAATTAGAATTAGAATACGAAAAAGTATTAAAGTAGCGTGTATAGAATTATCTTTCCTCTAAAAAAAAAAAAACAATCCACATTGACAACAAAGTCAAATTCGAGCCTAAACTCTATGAACATCTAACAACATTGTGAAAAAAGTGCTATGCGGTCAAATGATATTGATATTAGGGTTTTAACCTGATGTCTGGTAATCCATTTTGGGGTAGTTGCAGCAGCTATTTTTTAACAGCATTTTCACATTGCCACAAATAAACACATATATCTTATCGTACGTTTTGCTATAAGATATGCAGTGCATTTCTTTAATGCCCCCATCCCTTTCATTTTATGAACGGGTCAACTCAAAATATTGAAATTTGGGATAATGAAATTAATGCATGAATACTTTATTTTGAAGTCAAATTAATAGATGAAACTTTCAAGATGGCGACTGGGCGCCATCTGGGAAAAAAAATTAAATGGAAAGGGGGGTCTTGTGGCACATCTTTTTGAAGCTCCTGACAAATGCTTTACAACCCTAAAATATAATGTCAATATCTTCAACTACTACAAAATGGCGGAACTTTTAATAATTGCCTGAATACATTGACATTCAACTACATAATATGAGGTAATGAGCTTGAGGTCAGTGCAGAAGATTCTCGAAATGGTTTGAACTTCTTAACATATGAACAGCCTATCCGATATTTCACGCCGAACATTTTCGAACACAGTAACATCAATATCTCTACAAATATTTATTATTCTCTGCCGTATATCCAATATTGAAGCAAGTTCAGTTTCGTACACCTTTTGCTTCAAATAGCCCCATAATGTGGTGGTGCTGCATCTTGTTGGAATACAATGTCCATATCGAATTCATTAGGATTCGCTTCGACGATTTTAGTGATGAGAGGGTCAACAGTAGTTTCCAGCATATTCAAATACAGTTCCCCTGTTAAATTTTAATCAATAAATAGAGGTCCTACAATATGGTTTCCCAATATTCCTGCCCAAATATTAATTTTTTCTGTATATTGGGTATGTGTTTCCCGGAAAACGTGAAGGTTGGTGTCACTCCAATAACGGCAATTTTGTCTGTGAACATTGCCGTTTACAAAAATGTACATTCGTCACTAAAACAAATATTGTGGAGATAGGTAGGATGCCTGCAATGGTTTCCGTCATGATTGTACAGAATTCTGTTCTTCGATTAGGGTCATCTTCAGTTTATTGGTGTACCATTTTAATTTTGTATGGATGATACCTATTCCTCTTCAAAAGTCCCAACACAGTAGAAGGAGACACCTCACAAACAATCGCGACGGAATAAGTAGACTATTCAGCATTTACTACCATCTCACCAATTATTTGCACCTGGTGTTCTTCCGGAATGGACGGATGACCTGGTGGCTTTTTTTTATGTACACTACTGGTAGTTGTGAATTTGGATACAAGTTCCCTCAAATATTTTCTACAGATAGGACGATTCGTAAAACGTTCATTGAAAATCCTTTCGTCGCACCGTAAATAAAAATCGCTTCAATTTTTTCTTCCAATGAACGAGAATTGACTATTTTAGAGATTGTTGATGTGGTACCTTTCTACTAGTAAAACCGAAAATTAGATAAATGATAATATTCTAACTAAACAATGATGTTCATTGTCGTACTGACATTTTTTGTCGTTTTTATAAACAAAAAATAACTCAACAAACCTTATTGAGTTGTTGGAATTGCCATATGGCAGACAAAAAAAAATATTTCTAGAAATATCGATATCAATGTGTTTGTCTTCAGGAAATTATTAAATGTTCCGCCATTTTGTAGTAGGTGAAGATATTAACTTCATATTCTAGGATTGTGAAGTATTCGTCAGGAGCTTCAAAATTATGTGTCACAAGACTTCCCTTTCTACTCAATTTTTTTTGGTTCTATTTACATGAAAGTTTGAACTTCCTCTGGTCTGGTAATTGTGAATTTGATTATTGAATGTGATAAATTGACTAAAATATGAAGATAACTGTCCTTTCAACATTTTATAAGTAAAAATCATTGAAAGACGATATAATCAGGTTTTTAATGGTTCCAGTTCAGTACAACCAACGGTACAACTAATATTGTATCAATAGGAGCGGACTTCTTGCATTTGAGAATGATTCGCATTGCTCTATTTTGCAATTTTTGTAATGCAGCGATACTGTTAGAATCTAGTAATAACAGTAAACTTAGACAATATTCGAAGTGAGGTTGGATTATAGTTTTATAGACCGTTATAGATGTAGAGAATATTGGTGTTTGCACTGTGTTTTATATGGTAGTGTACACTGTACACTACCACAAGCTTTGTAACCATGATTTATTTCATGCACAATAAAGAATATCATCATCATCGTATTAGTTTATTTAGTGTTCAAATATCATACGTTTTTGGGATATATGGTTGTGTGTTTGAATTTCTATCGTTTCTATCACTCATAAAACTGTTGACTTCGGAAAATATTTAATATACGAACAAGTATTGAAAGATTATTTGTTTTCATGAAAATAAAAAGGCATACAGCCTATTCTTCTGATCTTGATATTCAACATCATCATAATTATCAGGTGTTAGGCAGTGGAAAGTGGCAGTTTAAATATCAATTGCAATTCAGCACTTTGAAACAATTTAAGAAAGTTAATTGGTATTGAAGTCATTGGTGGAACCATGCCTAATTTTTCAAATAATATTCAACATATCAAATGAAAAATAAGAAATAGAGGAGGAGTTGAATTGTTTTAAATTTACAGTTCTACTGTCACTCAAAATGAGATTATCCTATACAGTGGTTGAACAAATTAAATATTCATTAAGAATCATCAGACTGTAGAAAGATGTAATTATTATGTTAATATATGTCAGCAATCAAGAACTATAAAAAAATTACAAGTTTTCAGAAATACTGAATTCAATAAAAAATTCTTAAGAACTTTTTAAAAATTCTTATAAAGATTAAAGAAGATGAAGTCAAAAACATAATATGAACTTTTTCGGATATTCTGGTGTATTTCTAGATCCAACAGCAATTTTAAAAATATCATAAAATACGGTTATGGAATACTTATATTCGTCTCACTGTTTATGAGACTTGATTATAAATATCTCTGTATTTATGTTTGTATATGATGTAACTAACCAAAGAAATGAATGAATAGGCCCTTACCTCTTCTCTCAATAAACTGAAATGTGGTTCATGGGTACACAACCCCAGCATTATCAAATCAGCATCAAGACCATAAAGACAGTGCCTAGTGTTTGGATCATATCCTGGTTGTGCTCTCATATATCTAATGTAGTCCATTATCTTATGTTCTCCCTCACCTGGAGTCTGAAGAAAAAACAATTCAAAAAACATTATATCGAATTTATACATAGGTACACCTGAAATAAAAATAAATGAACAACTATGGTGGTCTGTTCTATGAGTAAACAATTGTCAAATTCAGATGAATTATAATGATTTACTTCAAACTTTCCAGCTATGAATTTTAAATTTTTGACAGGAAATTGAAATGTCCAGTTGCAAGAATACTTAGACCTAATGACCATTACAATTCTTGAAGGGTAAGCTTAAAGAACTGCATACATAAAAGTTTCAAAATGAATTGAATGCGTGGATGAAAAAATAATGTTAATTAAATTCGAATCATTTTTACAGTAGAAGATATACTGAAACAACTATTAGCTCTACATTACAATATCTATTAACCACTTTTTCAATATCAGAAGACATTTCCACTTACTTATATGATACAAAATAACAGTACTGAAATGAAACTATCCCTTTCTCATTAAAAAATAAATAAATATACTCTTTCAAAATCAGATGTAGGCACTTGAGGTTTCAATTGAACACTGATCTTTTCAACAATACTTTTTACTTGAACTTGTGATGCACTGTTTGGAAACTTTGGTGTAGTAATGAATATTACTGGTGTTTTTCCCAACACCAAACCGTTATTTTAACACTTCCACACGTGTTTCGATCACCAAGTGATCATCTTCAAGAGGAAGATCAAACTGGTCTTGATCTATTCTACCCTCCATTGAAATAAAATACCAAATAAATCCAGCTTCTTGACGAAGCCGATTACTTTATTTGGTGGCTGATTTTATGGTACATTTTCCACAATTTAGTGAGGATCTGATAGTAAATTGTCGCGGTCGATACACACAAAATTTCAAAACTTTTTCAAAAGGAATTTAGTTATTGAAAATTCCAATATTTCTTTATCAGGATAGAGTGCAAATATATGTTTACAAGCTTTTACATAAATTCCTCATTTTCATAAGATAAGTTTCAAAAGCTCAGTGAAGTTGAACATCACTATTGATTATTCAAATAACATTTATTTATTGAAGTAGGTAATTCCTAATATTCAGTTTTGATTCTCATCTTATGATTTTAAATTTATCTAAATAAAATTATTATTTTAATTTTTGAACATACCAATAAGAGAAAAATAATTTATCTAAATTCAGGGTGTATCAACAACAGTTGGGTGCTTCCCTATTAGAGATTAAAAAAATGTTTCGGCAAAAAGTTGTAGAGATTAACAAAAGATATGTTTTAATGATTATAACTAATATACAGGATGTCCAATAAATGTGTGACAGACCATACTTCAATAGGAACACTCCAAATATTTTCACTCTACTGAATTTCTTGGGCAGAGTACTTCTCAAAAATATGGGTTCATTCCGGATGGTTCAGAAGTAATAGTGAAATGTATGTCAAAGAATAGGTTTATTCAACACAGAATATCTCCTCACTCGATCGAATTGAATGAGGACATTTTTCAATCAAATATCCTCGTGGATAATGTATTTTTATTTCGTTTTCATAAGTTTATCGAACAGCACTTTTTTATACAGGGGTAAACAAAACTTGAACTCACCTTTTCATGAGTTTTTTCACACCCTGTACATAAGGTCATACCAGAGTAGGTAGTTGGTACATTACCAAACATAAAATTTTCATTTTTTTTATTTATTCCTATTCGCGCTTGTAAATATGGTGTTCATATGTCCTCCGAGGCCTTTCTGGCTGCTTTACGTAGGTTTATTGCCCGAAGGGGTACCTGCTTGAANATTTTTTTTTATATTTCATTATGCTAGTGTTATCATTACACTCATAGATATGTATATTAGGTTTCCTATTTCATAAAAATTTCAATTTCAATAAAGATTATTTCAATTTCAATATTTTTATCCAATTCGATTTCTTGGACAGAATGCTTCTCAAAAATATAGAGATGTTTGGGTTCATCCTGAGTGGTTCAGACGTTATAGTGAAATTTATGTCAAAAAATGAGTCCATTTGAACTTTCAGAGACTGTAAGGATTGACTACTTTATATTCATGGAAAATGTATCTAATCCAATTCTTGAAGAAATTATGAAAAAGCCACTAAATAGAAGCAATAACGGTTTTTTATTCAGTTCTGGATGAAACGAGTAACAAAATGAAATCAAAAAATTTTGAAACACACAAGTTTGCAATTCATGTTCGAACAATCTTCCATTTTGAGCGATGCATAAATGTAGTCTACCAACAATTTCCCTTTGAACTTCAATTAAAGTTGATTTGTTGGTTTCTCTCGATAGACCTCTCCTTCGAAATATCCGCATAGATAAAAATCTAGAGGAGTGAGGTCTGACGATAGTGCTGGTCAGTAAATGGGTCCATTTCTTCTACTATGCTTTGTAAATGTCTCAACAGTTCGCTCTCAATGAAACTTGGTGATACTTTTAATGGTTCGGGTAATTCATCAAATTGAAAAAGCTACTGTGCTAGCGAAACATGTTGTGATTATATTTTTTCAAATAAAGTTTGTGGTGATCAAATCGTGAGGTGTAGTTTTTAAAAGTGAAAGAAACTTTCCAAAAATAAAGTGTTTCTGCTACTTCTGAAGTTTGTTCTGACCAGCGATGGACTGGCCATAGGGCATACCAGCAAATGCCCAATGCAGTGCCGATGATTTAGTGCCACAATAATGGCAAAATAATCGAAGCTTTGCTATGGGACAATAAAAAAAGAACAGCTTCAGCTGCTTAAAAAAACATAATACACGGGTATAAAACATAAAAACAACACTGAAACGGCAAGCCACTTTCACTTTCTTTTTTTTTAATAAAATACATACTACCGACCATTTTCACAATTGCACAATTCCTCACAGTTAGACTGGTTCGTTCCAGCATTCCAAATGGAAAGTTTCAGTATTGCATGATTTTTTTAAATGAGCAAAAATTGATAAATTAAAATTAACCCCTCCCTTCCTCATGAAGCGAAATTGGCAGCAATTGTAATTAGTGCATCAGTGGCATACACCGGGTGAAATGAAAGGTAAGAGACCACATGAACATGATAATTGGACTTGGAAGTGATGATAAATATCTGTATTGAGCCTGGATGTGTTCTATTCTATATGCTAATAGGTTGATAAATTAACGGTGAGTATAGATTTATATTATTTAGGAATAAAGAGCAAAAAGGGAACCAAATACACTTCCTTGAGGTAATACCCTTACAGTTGTTGAAATATTATGAGGGATAATCAGTGTTACCTACTCTGTTTTATATCTTTCAGGAAATCATTAAACCAAACATAACCCACGCCATCAGTTCCATACTTCTTTGATTTTCAAAGAAGTATGCACCGATCTATTGTTTCTAAGACCCTGTTTGGGATTGGGAAAACTGCTTCAACATTCTTGTTATCATTTAGGTTACTGTTGGTTACTTGGTGATCAATTATCAAAACCTACCTCATGTCCTGATAAGATTACTTTACATTTCTGCCATGAAGGATCATTGGAAATTTTCTCAACTACAAAATATTTTAATTGTTCCTGTAATCTTGCCATGAACACAGTTCCAGGTGTGATACAGTTTGAGTCAAATCGGGCTTCCTCGGGTAGTACTTCACCTTTTTTAAGAGCATCATTTTCTTGTTTTTCAGCATCTTTAGCTGATCTAAATCTACGACCTCTTTGTTGATTCATTTTGGCCCTAGGCGCAACTCCATCCACAGCCATAAAAAACAGCTTTTGAGGCTTTATCATTCGAAATAAAACTTCTATGTAATGAAATATGTCTTTGAAGATCTTTTCTTCTGTTATACGGAAATGTGGATTTCCATCATCAGGGTGGGAGCACATGTGAATGATGCCATTCATATCCAAATATAAATTATCAAACTCAGGAATCTTAAAGAAAATTGATTATGAGAGAAGTGAATAAACATCATTGCAGGTATAATTCACCTGGTATTCCTTCACCAACTCACTCAAACATGGATACCTTTCACTAATGTAACGAAAAAATTTTGGAACACCCATTCTTTAAACTGGTATGAATTTGAAAACTTGGGGTAAATAATTAGCAGCTATTTTTTAAAAGTTCACCTTTGTAGTAAACACAAATCTCAAAAACCCAGAAGTATTTACTATTTACTGGTGTTATCAAAAAGTGTTTACTCGTCTAAAAATAGTCCCTAAGCAAGTTGACCAACGCAGTAAAACAAAAGGTTCGCTGCAAGTGTTCCAAAAAAATCAATTTCCTAACCGTTACTAACCATGGTCTAACCAGGACTTTTGACAGCATTGAACGATTGATCTTAATTATTATTTTTAGTTCAGTGTTTGACAGCTATTGCCTGGAAATTGAGAATTTGTTTTAAAATCTAACAAACATCTGAATAGAAAGTTTGTATATAGTGATCCTCTGGAAGTAAACTAAAAGCTTGTCCGTGATCAAAGTATTATATTATTATGTAGTTCTTCCGTCCAACAGCTTCCAACGGTTAAAACCGCTTTATCCCTGATTTCAGGATGAAATAAAAACGCTTTTTTTCGCTGAATGATTATAACGTCCAGTTGATTCAAAAAGCACTTTCACGCTGCATTCGTGGATCAACACACCGATCTCGCCTTCGTCATGGACGTAGTCGTTTACAAACAAAATGCTCAATGTAATAATGAATGTAATTTCCATGTGAAATTTTGGGATTTGCTTTGTCACATGATGTGACGCAGTGACCAAGACGTTGTGTGTTCCGCAAGTGGAATATATGTGAACGTGACGTCACGCTCAGTCCATATAAATTATCATGTCTATGATTGATTGTCCGAGCTTCAGCATATTCATATACCTACCTATGGTATATGGTCAGAGGATAGTTAAATAAGTGGTGGTCCGAGTCTATGTTGTCAAGTCAGATTATTGCTATCACTATTGATAATTTCACTTAGAAAAAGAAAAATCCCTAGCTGTAGTCTCTGTCATATCGAAAATGGTTGTAAAAGATCTCGACAAATTAGCACAAGACTTGGAGAGACAAGAATTTGAGGTAATGAATGAAAACAAAAAATAACTACTCATTTATAAACAAAATATTCTAGGCCCCCAATACTATTCCCTCTCCACAAGTTTATGGGCAACTTCTGGCAATTTATTTATATCAAAATGATCTGTGAGTAGTTATTACATATCTCTCATGCATGTGAGTATCAAAGTATGTTTGTTTTTTCAGATGTAATGCCAAGTATTTGTGGAAAAGAATACCACAGGTTACCAAAAATTTAAATCCTGAACTGGGACATATTTGGGCTGTAGGACAGAGTATGTGGAAACGAGACTTTCCTTCAATATACAAAGCTATAAACGCTGTTACTTGGTCAGAAACGGTGACTGACATTATGAAACTGTTACAGGGTAAATACTTTTTGATAATTTGACAATGTAATTTTTTGATAGATATTTGTTGTAGACGTTCGCTTGTATTGTATATTAGACCCCTGTAATTTTGTTTAGTGATCCTGAATCTCCCGTTAGAAGTTGGCGACCTAGTCTACTTTCAGCCACTTCAAAGACAAAACTGTTAGAAAATCGATTATTTCAGGAACTAACTGTTGCTGCTGCTGCTAATTTGCAAGAATAACCTTTTTTGGAATTATGCTCTGAATGATATGACTTCACTACAATTTTTATCATTTGTTGACAATGTCACAAAAGTTAAGTCAAAAAGATACATTGATAAGAAACAACCTAATTACAAAAAAAAAATAACATTTCCTTTTCAAGCACTTCATTTGAATTTATTCAGGTTGAAGTCTTTATAGGAGTCTGATAATTTATTGAACATTTTTGGAGGAAAATAGTTCACACATATTCGTGTTTTACTTAAGCCAAGCATAAATGTGTCATGTGTCTTGTTTCAAAATGGAAATTATGTTGTCAAATTTAGAAAACTCCTAATAATACAACTTGTTAAATCTGTTTGTTTTAAATGAAACACTGCTCAAACTACAAACATGGATCAAAATCATGAAAACTGTATCAAGTAGAGATACATATGTACAAGAAACTAAATGTTTCACAAAACTTTCATTTCCCGAGATACCTCATACAGTAGGTTCTGGTAAATGCCTGTCGAAAAACAACCACTTCTCCGGCTAATACCACGTTGGATATTGAGTTATATCCGACAGACAATTTTTTTAGCATCAAATGATTATTTGATCAGTCAATAATTATTTTCAAATAATTTTATTGTGTTATTTTTATATATTTCTTTTGTGTTTAACATTTCATTTTTATCGCAATATTTTTTTGTGTACTGTGACCTGCCATAAATGTATTTATACATAACATTTTTAAATAAAACTCTATATTCTACTCTATGTGAGGTATCTTGCATAAATGTCTGTCAGATATAATTCAATATCCAACGTGGTATTAGCCGGGAAAGTAGTTGTTTTCCGGTAGGCATTTACCAGAACCTATTGTGTAGGTATGTTGGGAGAGATGAATGTTTCAAAATTTTTATTTTCTTGTAGAAACAGAATGTGGAAGATACATTCTATATGATGAATAAGAAAATGTAACACTAACTCAGAATCAATGGAAAATTCTATTATTGAAGTTTCATTCAGTTTTATAAACAATTATGATGTAGTTTGCTGGAAAAGAGATAACCTGAAATATTTGATTTTTTGACATTTCAGTAGCAGTAGTTCTCCAAGCAGACCAGAGCTCCATGTTTTAATATCAGATTCATGATCAGCTGATGAAGATCAGTTTAACAATTTTTTTCTAACTAGCATGAGCCGTTATCACGAATATATACTTACTCTCTGCATCTTGCTCCCTTCTATTATTTTTTTTGACTGATATTATTCTGTCTTCACTTGTGATTTATATGAACGGACTCTTCTAATTTTATATATTTTATTCTTTTCACTAGTTGTTTTAAATATTTCAGATGTTGTGAGGACTAGAGCAGTCAATCTAATTTCCCAAGCTTACTCTTCCATAACTCTGGATACATTTTCTGCAATGACTGGTCTACCTCATGATGTTTGTATTCCGGCTTGTAAAGAACGGGGCTGGACATTCGAACCAGATACAAAAATGATTCACCCTATAGGGCTTGCCGTTGAACATATTGGACAAACTAGCAGTGAAGACCAACTATATAAATTAACAGACTTTGTGTCATTCCTGGAGAATTGAATTAAAAGTGCAAGCTGTGATTTTTCATCTTTCATTAGTGGGTAGTGTTATTTGTAGCACTAGCACCTATATCTTCCGATTCAAAGTTTCAGTGTTTGATTCAGTTTAAATAAGCTCATGAAGAAAATCAGTTCATATTCAATAATTAACCAACATTCAATTTGATCAGGTGTCTGAAGTCAGAACTTGGCACCTTGGCACACTTTCAGAGTTATGGCCACTCAAAAAAATGTTCAGATCTTTTGTCCCCTAATAAAAACTTGTAAGTGACATCTTTTTTTTATGGACCTGTTTACCTTTATTCACATGTCAATCCCTTAGATTGTATCATTTACAGTAAATTGCATACTGTTACATAATTGTTTATGAAACTGAATAACACTACAAAACTAATGTTTTTGATGGTTCTATTGGTTACAAAATTAAACTAGAAAAGAATGAGATATTGTCAAATGTACGTGGACCATTGAAACTATTTTTTCATATTGAATGTGTCTTGGGCAATTGATTCCATGTTTGTAGTTTGTGTAACGTTTCATTTAAAAAATCTCAGTTGGCAAGTTTTACATATTTGTGAGAATAAACAAACATGTAGGTACAATCTCCTATAACAAAGCTAAGTAAAATTTTCGAAATTTTGCTACTTAATTTTCATTTCTTTACTATTCTTTCCTGATGAAGTAGAACTCCAATTGGGAGCAACCCTAGTCTAAATAAATCAGATATCTGGATAATCGGATTTGACCAAAATAAACTTTATTTTAAAAGAAGAACATCTGAAAAAATTTTCAGAGTTTGAAAAAAAAAAAAAGGAACTGACCAATGTGGTATTTGGAACATCATTTTATTACTGTTAACTTCAAAAGTTGGACCACAGTATATTGGATATAGGCATGTATAGTGTAAAAATTACTATTCAAACATTTCTTCATAATCAGAAAACTCTCTAATTCGACATCGTTTGCAAGATAATTGTCTCTGAAGAGTTTAACTTCTTTTTTTTATCGAATAATTGGAGAACTGTGGATAGCTGGAGTTTCAATAATTGGAGTTATGTTGACAACAAACAATAATAAAAACTCTAGTGATGCGCTGATATAATTTGAAATGTTATTCCAAAAAGGGGCAATTTTGGTAAAATAGAACTTTTTTATTCTGAAATTGGTGATTGAAGGTCTGCAGTATGCGATAATGACAAAGAGTGTTCCATGTCATTGTCACTTTCAATGATTGAATGAGTTTTCAGCATCGACATAACCTACAAAATTATGTCGAAGGTTTCCAGCCTCAGAGTAATAATATGACATAGAGTTGCCATGCCTATACCAATATAATACATGTATTTTGAAACGCGTATCGTGCTATCCTTTTCTGTACAACTTTGGGCGAGGGGGGTGGCGGGTAATGAGAGGTTGAGAGTTTGTTTACATTTGAAGTAAGTTGGACCATAAAACAGTGGCGGTTGGTTTAGTTGATAATCGGAGGGATATTATATATTTATAAAATGTATCATTTCAGGTGAAAATGTATTCTGTTTTAATAGTTCCTACAGGAAATCTGATTTATTATTAATGATTATGGAAATGAGGCCAATTTTTCTACTACCTACTAGATTTTTATTTGTGTATAGCTTTATAATAAAGCGCGTGATTTACTGGGTTAAAATTAAATTATTTCAAATGAACTAATTCATAACAATGATAAATAATGTTAATTTCAAAAGTAATGTACTTTTCTTCATATAATCAGATGAAGAAATTTGTGATTTATTCTCAGATTTGATGAACAAGCGGTACGGTTTGTGAGGTCCGATACAAATAATTTTCGATTAGAAATCATGAATATTTATAATTACGATTGAGTTATAATATTATTATGTGATTTCATTCAAAATTGGTATCTAGGGGTCTTTGTGGACCGACATTATTTTTTTTTCAATAATTCATGCTGACGAATTGTATAATTACGAAAAATAATTAATGTAAAACTGTATTACAAATTTCTTCATCTAATTTTATGAAGCAAAGTTCATTACTTTTGAAATTGACATTTATCTTTATTATGAATTAGTTCATTTGAAATAATTTAATTTTAACCCAGTAACCACGCGCTTCATTATAAAGCCATACATGAATAAAAATTCAGTAGGTGGTAGAAAAACTGGCCCCATTTCTATAATCATTAATAATAAATCAGATTTCCTGAAGGAACTATTTGAACAGAATACATTTTCACCTAAAATAATTTATTTTATAATTATATAATATCCCACCGATTATCAACTAAACCAACCGCCACTGTTTTATGGTCCAACTTACTTTCCGTAAACAAACAAAGTATGATGCCTTCAATGTAAGGATGGAAAAGGCCTCTCTATTGTCTTTTGTCAGCATAAACATGATGTCACATGTCAATGATTTTTAGGTTAGAGTATAACAAAATTTTATTTTCATTATTTACATATAGAAATATAAAAAAAATAATATGGTAAGTATCCTTATGAATCATTTTACATTTTCTCATAGACGAAATAAATTTTGTTTCTTTCAGCACGGTCGCATTAAAGTTCGTACTTCAGAGGAGCAGAAAACTCTGAAACAAAAAGAGCAGCAGAAAAAACTAGCAGCATATCAAATGGGGATGTCACAAATTTTAGAAACTCGAGAAAAGAATTCTTATGTACCTAGCAGCTTTTCCCTTTGTACTCAATTATTGGCTAGTAACCCTGACATTTATACCCTGTGGAACTATAGAAAAGAAGTAATTCTAATGGAAATTGAGAAAAGGTAATGTTTAGACTAGGTAAATTCTTATTAAATGTATATCTTTCAGTGACAAAGATGAGGTCGATGGAGAAGAAAAGTTGATAAAATTTTTAGAGAATGAAATCAGTCTTACCGAACAGTGCCTTATATCTAATCCAAAGTCATATGGTGCTTGGCACCACCGATATTGGGTACTGATTCACCATCCGAAACCGAATTGGGAAAATGAGTTCAATCTTTGTTCAAAATACCTTTCAATGGATGATAGAAACTGTAAGAATTCTAGTCTATTTTCAATGATTTTGATTCATGAAAGCAAAGTTTGTATCTGCAGCATGTTGAGGAATTTTGTCTGCAAAAAGTTTGAAGTGTTAAACTATCATATTTCATAAAGAAGACATTTTCGTAATAACTTTTCATTTTTACTGTACAAAAACACTTGTCTTTAGAATTATTATTTTTAGTTCACTGTTGGGACTACAGACGACTTCTTGTAAACAAAATAGGCATCACTTTGACAGATGAGCTGCAGTTTTCTACTGATTGCCTGAATGCTAACTTCTCTAATTATTCGTCTTGGCATTATCGCAGCATTTTGAGGAAACTAGATGAGGAAAGTGTAGGTTTTGAACTAAATCTTGTTCAAAATGCTGTCTTTACTGACCCAGCAGATAGTAGTGCTTGGTTTTACCTAAGGTACGGAATTTGTAGTTGACGGAGTGAACTTTTCAGAGGGGGCTTATTATTGTTAATATTACTTTTCTCCATTAAATCAATACTCTGAGTAGCAAATCCAAATGCCTGTATGGAGAAACTGTTCATCTTTCTCACTGGAACTGCTTTTTTGTGGAGATGCACAAAAAGGGGGTGCAATGCTGAATGTGATGTTTTACGTTGAATTTAAATTGTTATAAACTATATTTATCTACAAAAACTTCTTGATATACTTCCTCTTTTCATTATCAAAATAATTTTGCTAAACGAGTATCAAACATTTTATTTAAAAAACAATTGATCTATTACCTAAAACACCCACTTCAATACTGTCTTTTGAAAAATGAACAAAGTCAAATCAATAGAGAATCTGCTGAAAAATTCACCCGAAATCACTGAAGAGTCCAATTAGTCAGTAACTTGTTGAATTATGCATTTTGCTTACATTTCATTTTTGTTGCAATTAGTGACACACGTGAATCGTTGTATTTGTGCCAAGTGTTGCAGTATACTGTGTAATTGCCTGAGGTACATAGAAAATTGAAAATTTCAATGCCTTGTGTCAAAGTAAAATAAACAATTTTATTCAGATAAGAGAGTAAAAATATATTAAAGAAGATAGTAATACAAATCATGAAATTATGAAACAACAAAGTTGTTGAAAAATTTTATTGAAATAGTTTTTTGTGTATCAGGTGGATTTTAAGTCATCCCACAATTAAAAAACAAAGTCGTGAAGAACTTTTGGATTCTTTGGAGCAGTTGGAGGAATTAGAACCGGATTGTAAATGTGAGTATGAATTTTCATTTATTAAGTTGTGCTTCTAGCTATATGAACTGCTAAGGTTAATCATTTTTCGAGAAACAATACTTGATAGTTCAATGTTTTCCTCTTGATTTATTTGAAATTATGTTGCAAATTTTTCGCACTACCATCAGTATCATCCGTCTTTCACAAATCGAATATATAATGGAGTCTCAATTTGAATATGAATGACTTGGAAATGGAAAAGTTTTTTTAATTCAAAGTGGATGGTGAAACCATACATTGAAATTTGCTCTTTTATCTTTCTTTGAGTTACTCATATATTTTTGACTTTTCTAAATTTGGATGTTACTTTTTTTCACTTACTCATTCTAGTGTTGCCAAAGCTATTCCATTCAGAGTAGATAAACTATATGTGTTATTTTTACTTATCACTCTGAGGCCCACTGGTACAATCACAGTTTAAGTGTGATTCAAATTTTTAGCTTGGTTCAATTAAAATTAAAAATTGTAAAATGCATGTTCACTGGTGAATCTGGTTCGTTTCACCAAATAAGTGGAGATTTACCTAATCATTGATATCTGAAGCTTAAATCAGTAGAGGAACGTAATCTAAATAACCCCGAAATATACATCTGGGCTTAGTGGCTTTTATATTTGAAGTTGCAATTCATTATTTTTTTCTGAATCATTCTGAAATATGGGTTTGATAGAAATAACCAATGATTGAAGACTTCATCCAAGTCATGAATATCATTAGAAATGCTAGAGAGAGGTCTGTGAAATACGGAATAATTCTATTTTTACATTGCCTTTCTGTGCGGATGGAAAGTTTCTCCCAGCTGCACATATACAAAAATAACTAAGACTGCAGTATAACAACAATTTACCAGTTTCTATATAAGAGTAATATTGTCAGATTTCCCAAACAGTAACTCTTAACAAACTAACAAGAAGTTAGTTATAGAAAGATTCCAAGATCACATAATAGCTATAAGCTCCAGGTGAAAACATTTCAAACTTTTGGAATGAGCTATATTCTATAAATATGCAAGAAGAAGCTGAGGTACAATATGTACATGTAATCTGATTAGTTTTTATGCTTTATCATCACAATGTTTTACTTTTAAATTTAAATATTTCGCATTTTCTAAGAGTTATTCTAGCTGTATATGAATTATTTTTTCTTGCACAATGAAGGCTCATTATTCATTATTAAATAATGCTTTCCTTTCTTCTTATTAAAACATTATTCAGATCTTCGTTTTTGTTAAACTTCATTCAACATTCAATTGTACAACAGATTGCAAAATTTAAGCCAGTTTCTAAGTTAGTGAGGTTCAACTGAACCTGGACTCAACTTGTACAACTGGACCTTAAAAAATATTCAGTTTAATATCAACTGGTCTCCACTGTATTGAACTCATAAATTTTTTAATTTATGTTTTGATGGATTGAATTGATTATCATGAAGGGCCTATCAATTTAAATTTTGTATTTGTTATAACAGAGTACCAGAAAAATTTACTATGCCTCTTCTTTTTATTGCATTCTCACTTTATTAACCGGTCCATTGTTTTGTAATTTATATCATTGGAACCCCTTTTATAAAATTACTCACAGTTTGTAAGTGTTTGTGTGTGTTATGTTATATCAGGTAATGCTGAAGGCTATTCCACTGATCCCTTGGGGTCTACTGATCTTTGAATATCCCAAAACTAAAACAGAACTGGCTGGTATCTCAATCGCTGCAAAAGAAATAACCAGGAAAGGAATTTCTCGCAAAAACATAACAATCTGCACTGACAGCAGACAAGCCCTATTAGCCTTGAACAGACAACGTGTAACCTCAGGGCTAGTACTAGAGTGTCACTAAGATTTAGCCAAAGCCTCGGTAGATAATAACATTATCCAGAGGTGGGTTGAGGGGCACGACAGGAGAAAAGGTAATCGCATTGCCGACTCTTTAGTCAAGGAAGCGGCTGGACTAAGGATTTTAGGACCCAGTGGCACCTACGGCCTAATTACTTCGACAATTGCGGAAATAGCCAAATGTCACAACCATGCTCAATCCCCAAAGAGATGGGATGGAATCAAAGGATACAATCTTGCCAGGATCACCTTGGGCGACCCTGGGAAGCGGGTGCCGAAGAAATATGTAGCGATGACCAGGAAAAATCTACGCTTTACAGTAGGATTTCTGACTGGCCATTGTCAACTAAGGAAACACCTCCATAATATGGGGCTAGTGAACACACCTCTACGCAGGATGTGTGAACAGAAAGATGAGACTGTCAGGCATGTCCTATGCGAGTGTCCGGAGTTATCGTCAATAAGAGAGTGTGTGTTCGGCGAGTCTTGGCCTACACCTGTCGATATAAAGGAGATGTCTTCCATTGACCTGTCCATCTTTCTGGAAAGGACAGGATGGATGATGATCTAGGAGGACAACTCCTCAGGAGGATGTACAATGGATCACATGGGCCTAAGTGCTGTGGGCTTACAGTCATCCTCCCTACTCTACAGATACAGATCCCAGAACTATTTTACCACAAATTGAAGTATTAGAAGACAATGTACTACTATATTGTAGAATGTGCGTCATCAAGGAATCCTTATACTTTTGTTTCAGTTAACACCTACACTTCCTTACCTCACAATGAAAATACAATTCTACGTTTCAATGGTTACAATTGAGTTCAAGTGTAACTTAAGTACCAATAAAAACAGTTTTGTTGTTTTGATAAGACAACTTTATTTTTCAGAAAAGGATAGTTTTGACATTTTTTTTTTAGTATTTTTCGAAAATTTCTTGAACCTTCTTGTAAACTAATCTGGGAGCATCAATACCAAATGTGAAATCTAAATGATTCCATTTGGGGTCTGTCACCAAGATTTTCTCTTTCAAACAACTACCCAGGGCCTTAGCGAGCCTTTCTACATCTGTAACAGCAGCCATCCAATCATTTTGACTGTAGATCAAGTGAATTGGCGTTTTAATTTCATCAAGGTTATAATCAGGTGGTACCATACTGCCGTATTTTCTAGTATTTCCTATCAGACCTAAATTGTACTGACAAAAACGTCCAGAATTTATTTCCTGTGCATAGTGGAGAACTTGTTTAGTTGCAACTCCTGCAGGATAGTGCTGCACAAGTTCCGGTATCAGCGAGACGTTCATTTGTTTCGGACTGAAACCGCAAACGGCGAACAATGCATTGCTGCATAAAAGGGCGCCTATCTCCCCAGAACAAATTGCCGATGACAACATGCTCATGAAACCACTCTTAGGGAGAAACTCATCTTTGCCTGAAAAATCGTAATTTCTTGTTTACACATTGTTCTATTCTGTTGATATTAATCATTCACTTTCATAGGAATAAACAAAACAGTATACATTTTTTATCATAATAATAGTTATAATAATAACAAAAAATGATGGTTCTTCACTTCCACATAGACGATTCAAATCTATATAGAAATTTTAAATGTAATTAAAATGAATAGTTAACAAAAAAAAAGAGAACTTTGCATGACTATTAAAAAATCTGATAGTCTATAATAGTTCCCTAACAGGTATGCTTGTAATATTTTCTAAATTATATATTTTTTGATGCCTTCACATATTCACTTAATATTGTTGAACATTTTTGGATTATGGTCCAGAATATTTTATTTTTGATTTAGCAATGGGCACATGGAACTGGTTTTTATTTCTTGTAGCATGGTGATGACTGTTATTATTTAACATAAAATGCATTGGGTATTTGAACTCTAATTTATACCAATCTCAAATTAACAAAAAAAAATTTTAGGAAATCGAGTAAGATATCAAATGTAGACAGTAATTCCTTTCAATGAATTCATCAAGAAAATTCAACACCAATATCACTGATATCAAAGTTGCGTGCGACAGAATCAGTTTGGATCTGCGATTCATTTTTACCATATCAAGGGCTCATTCAGTTCTCTTAAATGAGTCAAAAATAGAAATCCTTGTGTTTGATCACAAAAATAATGCTGTTGCTCATAGTGCGGAACCGTAGATTAATTTAAATGATCAAGTATTGAAAACCTCGACCCACTGCAAAAATTGAGGACTTTACCTGGACATGAATTTGAAATTCAACTCCCAGATAAACAATGTATTGAAAAAATCATCTGCCATGTTTGAAACTTCATATCTGCATTAGCACATTATGAACACAGAAATGAAACTACTACATTGCAATTCGTTAATTTATTCTAGTTTTGCCTTTTGCAATGTTATATACTTACCGGTCCTCACTAACAAAGATCAGTTCAATCTTCCTCTTCTAGATGATCACTTGGTAATCGAATCACGTGGCGAGGTGTTGAAATAACGGTTTGGTGTTGGGAAAAAACTCCAGTAATATTCATTACTACACCAAAGGTTTCAAACAGTGCATCACAAGATCAGTTAAGTCTAAGATTTCAGAACTAGTGCAGAAGATATTGTTANCACCCATTAGTGTAACTGTGTGATTATAGCAAATAATTCCCTGATACATATATGAATTCTATCCCAGTGAAAAGCGAGAGAATGGTAAACGTATACAATTAGCGTTGCGTGTACTAAGGTAAGAGTCCGTAAATCCGACATTGTCCACAATTTCGACAGATTTTCATACCAAGCATTGAAATAAGAAATACCGATCACAATATTAACGTTCGTAACATCCAGCGACATCTTTGAAGATTACTTGGCAACATTCAAATTCGTTTCCTGATATACCGACTACTCCCTTTGTATGACTCCGTGATAAACATTCGATGTCGCTTGAAATTCAGTGAATGGTTCCATCTCGCGCAATTGTTTCTAAGGTAAGAGCAGATTGTCCATTTTTGAAACAATCAAATAATTGATTCTCATCATCACAGTTGCTTCACTTCACGCACAATTAGTTTTGAACATACCATATTTACATAGGATAGTATATTTTCATTGAAAATGAACTCACGTTAATAAATAATACTAGTGTCGGAATTACGTTCAAAGAAACATACAATAACTCAAATCAGTCACTTGGTGTCGGAATTGTGTACGAAATCAAGTTTACTATAAATATTGTTTTCTCTCTTTTTAATGTAAGAGAAACGTGTAAGCTTGAACTGATGTTCCTTCTAGTATATTTAAAACAACGTATCATTAATCCGACAAGGGTGTCGAAATCATGTACCACGGGTGTCTGTTTTACCATCGATTCACTTATTTTTTATTTTACACAATAGCGGTGATTTGCTGCATTATGGAAATTCAAAATGAGGTATATTCATTTGTTTCAGGATGTCTGCAAAGAAATATTGCAAATATTCCCAAGATAATTTATTGAGTGCTCTAGAGGCCATCAAACATGGAATGCCACGTGCAACTGCAGCAAAAAAATTCAACGTGCCAAGAACTACACTAATTGGCAAAATTGATGGCAGATACCCTGAAATATGTCAAAGTGGGGCATCAACTGTATTGACCTCTGAGGAGGAAAATATTTTGGTACAATGGATCCTCAATATGGCAAGAATGGGATTCCCTGTCACAAAGCTGCAGTTGATGGATAGTGTATCACTTCTAGTTAAAAACTTGAAAAGACCAAATAAGTTCAATAATGGGCACCCTGGGCGCCATTGGTATGAGGGATTTCTTCAAAGGCATCCTGAAATTTCGCAGAGAATGGCCCAAAATCTAACTGCTTCTCGAGCAGCAGTAACCAAAATCAAAATTCAAAACTGGTTTGGAGAAATTAGCGATTACTTCACTTCATCAAATATCGACATCCGTGACCCAGAGAGAATATTCAATTCTGACGAGTCTGCATTTTTTTTATCGCCAAAAGGAAATTCTGTGCTAGCAAAGAAGGGAAGTAAAACCGTATATGACCGATCGGGAAATGACAAAGAATGCCTTACTGTACTAATAACAGGTAATGCAGCAGGCCAGTTGGCACCTCCAATGGTAATGTATCCCTATGAAAGGATACCGAAGCACATCGCAATGCAAATTCCTTCTGGTTGGGGAGTAGGTAAATCAGAAACGGGTTGGATGACATCTGAGTCATTTTTTGAATATATAACAAATATATTTTTCCCATGGCTCGTATCGAAAAAGCTCGAATTTCCTATTTTATTATATGTAGATGGCCATAAGTCCCACATAACATTTCCGTTGAGTGATTTTTGTAGAAAAAAAGGAATTATTTTAATCAGTTTGCTCCCAAATTCAACTCACATCTTACAGCCCTTAGATGTGGGCCTCTTTAAAGCTCTGAAAAATAGCTGGAAAAACAAGATAAGGAATTATCGAACTCAAAACAACTTCAAAACTTTAAACAGAGAATATTTTGCTCCCGTTCTCAAAACCGCTCTTGATGATATGAAAAATTTAAAAACAATATTCGAAAATGCCTTCAAAGTGTGTGGATTGCATCCATTTGATATTGAAAATGTTGATTTATCAAAGGTTTTGCAAAGCACGATAATCCCTGAAAACGAAACCAACCAGCCAACAGAGAATTCTGATATAGTGAAGAATTTGAGATTTTTAGAGCAACACATTGAAAAGGAAACAGTCCAAAAATTTTATCTTCTGAGGGGTGCTAATTGGACTGGAAATGTTGAAGACAAAACTTTGTATAGTGTTTGGAAGCAAATTTTCATAAAGTCTGGTTTGAGTTTTCCTATAGAAGAAGAATCAGGTGAAAATATAATAATTGAAGTAAAGGATGGTATATATTTAGAAGAGGATTGGGACAACATGATATTAAATTTGGCAGGAGATATAAACATGACAATGACCGAAGATCATGAGACTAATAATGATATTCCAGACTTACAAACAACTGATTACAATCAATTCTCTTATGATGGAATCGAACATAACATTCAAGAGGCCTCAGAAAAAACAGAAAAGAGCCGAAACCCACAGAATCTTGGCAGCAAGGCCGAAATCCGTATCCTTCAGAACATTTCAATTGTTACAGAAGGAAACGACATTGCAGATGAAATATTTAGCGGAATGAATGATGATTCAAAAGAAATCAATAATGATGATATAGAAAAGAAGAAAAATGTTACCACAGATGGAGAAAAGGAGAAAACTATAGCTGAAATTAACATGCAGGAAGAACAGAACACAATTAAAAATGATATATTTAAAAACAAAGAAGACATTGCCGAAGGTAAGGTGACTGAAGAGGCTATAGTTGAAAGCACACCAGAGGAAGAAATACTTGAAAACAACATTGAGGAGAAAAATGGGTCCACAGGTACCACACAATTTCATACAGGGGAAAGGATCATATTGAATGATATTCAGGTTACACCAGAAGATAAAAAAGGCAATCAAGCAACCTTACGAAAAACAAAAGAAACTGAACGCAAGTCTCCAGAAAACGTTACAAATACTATTTTTCCAGAAATAGTTATCCCTTCGCCATTCAAGAAAGCCTTATTTTGGCCAGAAGCAACGACATCTAAAAAGCCTGTAAAAAACAAGAAAGAAAAAATACCTTCAGTAACAACTTCTGATGCATGGAAGGAATATTATTTGAAAAAAGAGGGCAAAAAGGAAAAGCAAATGGAAGAGAAAGAAAATAGAAAACGAAAGAGAGAAGAGAAGAAGAACACCCCTAAACCGAAGAATACTAGACGTCAGTTGCATATTAAGAAGAATAATAATGAATCAAGTTGCATAGATAAACCAAATGAAAATGAAAAGGCTTCCACTAGCGGAGATTGTGGAAAAAGTAACTTCAGCGTCGACGATTTCGTTATTGTTAACTATGAAGGTAAATATTATCCTGGAGTCATAAAAAATATTGCAGACGGTAAAGCTTTCATCAGCACAATGACTACTAGCAGCCTGAGACAATGGAAGTGGCCAGAAGGAAAAGATGAGATTTGGTATGAATTCCATGAAATCATTGAGAAAATCAAGAAACCTAAACAAGTAAACAAAAGAGGGTTCTTTGAAGTGGAAGAGGTTAACAAATATTCACAAGGAATTTTGGAATAACTTATTTTCATAATCTGCTATATGTAACTAATGCTCTATGTTGAATTACTTTTTTCTTCTGATAAACGGATAAGTATAATATTTCATTATTAACTCTGTCTGATTTATGCACCTCAACATGTCGAATTCGAAGGCACTGTCGAACTTGTGTACAGTTTGGTAAATATTATCCTGGAGTCATAAAAAATATTGCAGACGGTAAAGCTTTCATCAGCACAATGACTACTAGCAGCCTGAGACAATGGAAGTGGCCAGAAGGAAAAGATGAGATTTGGTATGAATTCCATGAAATCATTGAGAAAATCAAGAAACCTAAACAAGTAAACAAAAGAGGGTTTTTTGAAGTGGAAGAGGTTAACAAATATTCACAAGGAATTTTGGAATAACTTATTTTCATAATCTGCTGTATGTAACTAATGCTCTGTGTTGAATTACTTTTTTCTTCTGATAAACGAATAAGTATAATATTTCATTATTAACTCTCTGTCTGATGTATGCACCTCAACATGTCGAATTCGAAGGCACTGTCGAACTTGTGTACAGTTCAATGTCGAATATTTGGACAAAGACAAAATTTGCCTGTCGGAATTGCAGTCATATGTAGAACATTTTTTTAAATTGCATTCTATGTTTATTTTCTTCAATATTTCCATATTTCTGGTGGAATTTCATCAGAAAGGACACCTATTTCTTGATTGTGTGTACTTTTGAAGCAGCTATGCCTACATCTTGAAGTAAATGACTCGAATGTACTACTATCTTCCTTAAAGTGTCTGATTTATGGACATTTACCTTAGTCCCATTTACATTTTTTGACATATCTCTGTATCTCTAGAGTAGTGAGGGTGAGTGCAAGCCCACAGCACTTAGGCCACATGTGACCCATTGTACATCCTCCTGAGTAGCTGTCCTCCTAGGTCATCGTCCATTCTGTCCTTTCCAGGAAGGTGGACAGGTCACTGGGAGACATCTCCTTTATATCGGCAGGTGTAGGCGAAGACTTGCCGAACACACACTCTCTTATTGACGATAACTCCGGGCACTCGCATAGGACATGCCCCACAGTCTCATCTTCCTGTTTACACATCCTGTATAGAGGTTTGTCCACTAGCCCCATATTATGGAGGTGTGTCCACTAGCCCCATATTATGGAGGTGTTTCCTTAGGTGACAGAACACATAGGTGTCAGAAATCAGATATCCTACTGTTAAGCGTAGATTTTTCCTGGTCATCGCCAGATATTTCTTCGGCGCCAGCTTCCCAGGGTCGCCCAAGGTGATTCTGGCAAGATTGCATCCTTTGATTCAATCCCATCTCTTTAGGGATTGAGCATGGGTGTAACATTTGGCTAGTTTCACAATTGTCGAAGTCATTAGGCCGTAGGTGCCACTGGGTCCTAAAATTCTTAGTCCAGCCGCTTCCTTGGCTAACGAGTCGGCAATGCGATAACCTTTACTCCTGTTGTGCCCTTTAACCCACCTTAGGATAATGATATCATATACCGAGGCTTTGGCTAAATCTTGGTGACACTCTAGTACTAGCCCTGAGGTTACACGTTGTCTGTTCAAGGCTAATAGGGCTTGTCTGCTGTCAGTGTAGATTGTTATGTTTTTACCAGAAATTCCTTTCCTGGTTATTTCTTTTGTGGTGATTGAGATACCAGCCAGTTCTGTTTGGACCACGCTGGTATTTTTTCTCATTCCCCACTTAATCCTTAGGCTTAGTGATCTGTATTCTAGATCAAAAAATTAAAATTGGAATAAAAATAATTTTATTTGCCAAATATTGAAGTATTGTTGGATTTAGAATGTCATTCTCGATCAAAATAAGTAAAAATATATAGGATGTCCCATTTAAAAATCGAAAGTTGGGATCATTTGCGGTCAAACCGGAAGAACGGCAAAGCAAGTAAATCAGTCAAAAAATGTGAATTGAACTATAATACACAACCCCCAAATTTCTTTTTTCTATCTCCAATAATAAAAAAGTTATAGGGGTGAGCCACCTTAGAGAATCACCCGGTATACTCGTATATGATATCCGAATTCGTAGAGTCGAATATACATAACAGTGAAACAAGATGTAGCTTTAAATATATGCTCCCAATAAACAAGAGCGCAGTATTTTAAAAATCTTTATACAATGCTATTGATATTCATAACGGTTTGCCTGATTCAATTAAAAGCATTGTCAATCCAATCTTTTAAAATGTTCGTGAAATTCCACCTGTGTGAACTGCAGATATATTAATGAATGGTCCAGTGAGCCAAAAATGACAGCCGTCTGCATTGAAAACTCCACGATGAATATCGTTTTGCTCTGGTAGTTGAGAAGTACTACTACATTAGAGGAAGGAATAGTTACAATCAATTCGGTTCTTTTCATTCCCCACAATACTATAAAAGTGCCGTAGATGGCAATAAAGCACTCTTAGGACCGCGTTATGTCGATGGATATAGGCTGAGACCGCATATGCTGGACATGCCGACAGCAAAATACGAACAATCTGTGTTTTATAAATGTTCACGTACATGTCATTCCCAATAAAAAAGTTGACGCAGTATAATGACTGATTTTGATTGCAGACTCAATGTTATTCACATGTAGAATAAACAAAATAGTACCTAATGTGGAATTTTGTTATACACTCGTCATTTGCAGTGACACAAATTGTTTCCGGTTCTGAAGATATGGACTTATGTCACGTGGTTGTTTCCGATTTTGTAAACTGTCTAGTGAAAAATCTCACAAAGTGTTACTTAAATACGTTATGGATTTTCTTCAAGTATCGGCTAATTCCATTACATTTGAAAATAATAAATAATTTAGGGTGACTCTTGAAAGTTTACCTAATATTGAAAAAAAATCTAAAGCATCTTATTCACCTATTAAATCCATTAGCACAGATATAGACCTTTCCCCTGCAGCAATCACTCTTACTAGAGGACTTGTCATGTGGTTCATGAAAGCAATTGGGGCCAAACTGACGTGTACTTTGACTTTTTGGTTGTATTCTGGTTTTGATGATGCCATTATGTAGAAGGCAGTGGTTCCTTGGGAGTGTCCAGCATAGTAAATTCCATCAACGCCAGTTTTGTCAATGATGTAGTCGATCATCATTGGCAGATCTCTCATTCCTATTTCGTGCCAACTGAAGTCCCAGAATTCAGACTCCTTGTCTGGATTCATAGTTGTGTGGTTGCGGGAAAAAAAGTTACCTGAACATATACATTTTGAATAAAATAAGTAATATTTTGAGTGATGGAAAGAATTTTTTTGAAGAACTGTGCAAAACAGCTCCAAAAAAACTTTCAATAATCAAGTGAAATTCAACAGATATTGAAAGCCATACCTACTTTATTTATTGAAATATAGGATGTTATTTAAAAAAATATGGGGCAAAGAAGTAAAGAAGAATTGTAAGGGAGATGACATCAAGAACTGAAGAATGAAATTGTGGGTATTGCTAGACTCTTATGGATCTGTTTATATTTGTTTTGCTTGATTTTAGTTTTATAATATGTTGTTTGCTTGGTTGGTCAAAAAATTGTGTATCAACTTGTTTGATTTTATATCTCGTTTCAGGCAATATTTTTAACACATTTGGTTTCGTAGATCAGAGAAGTCTAATGTCGCTTAACATTTTTTAGAGAAGGGCTACAGAATAAATGAGAAATGCTTGAAATTGCTGAAACCGGTGATTGACAACAGGCTTTCAGATACCTTCAAAAGTTTAGAAATAAAAAATTGTGGAACGATATCTATGAATAATGACAAAGGTTCCATTCCAAAGAACCTCTTGTTTATTAGTTAACATATTAATGAGGAATCGAGATACCTCGATATAATAACACACTAGGAAAGCGTTTAATGACACAAATTTAAATGCCTTGATTTTAAAATCATATGCTGATGATGGTAACTTCGTTAACGAAACGCGCGTCGAGAGACAGTATTTTAATTCTGGTGAGGGAAAAGAACACTTCACTCACTCACTCACCTCTAGCGTTGCCTAGCCATACATCATACCCTTCGTCTGCTAGAATGTAACCAAGTCCTTTTCCGGGACCAGCAATAACCCAATCGGTCGATGATGCTAGAAGACCATGTTGAAGGAGAACTACTTTACCATTATTTTTCTTGCTTCCTTTTCCGTGAGGAATGCGGTGAAGATTCAGTATGTAGCCATCCCATGTTGTGACATAATGACTTTCTACAGGATATCCATTTTTTGCTACCATTTCTGGTACTGTTGACAAATATTTATGATATAGCATGCATAGATTTCTTTTCAATTTAGTGAAATGATATAGTTGGTCTTGTGAGAAAAAAATGTCGTTTCAGACAGAACACCTACGTTAAATACATTTTTAAATGTTTTGTTTTTGCATCAGGATATGTACAGTTGAGTTCAAAAAAAGTGTCACAAAATTAACATCTACGATTTTTTTTTCCTTTATTTCGAATGGAATACTCCATATATGAGAGGTTCTTGTTTTCTAAATCTACCATTTCTCATGATATATTTGAAATATTGATTCATTTTTGAGGTTTTCTATGATTTCTCATAGTGTAATGTTTTTATTTGAAAATATGATCTACGTGAAAATTGGTTCTTACTTGGAATATTTGATTATTCGTTATGTTGATAACAAATTTATGGTGAATATATAATTCAATTCATCAACAAGCAAATAGTAATAGTGAGTATTCATGAGATCATAAAACAACAAAGACTTATTTGAGTACTATCTAACTTCCCAAAAACCCCTCACTTGCACTTCTAATCCTATTCAACTCATTTGAAACTGTATGACATATCGGTTTTTCGATGTCACTTGATTCGATAAAATAAAATTTATTGATAGATTTGTTAATCAAATGTTAGTCAAATAATAACTGGAAAACATGGATATTGCGATAATTTGAATCGTTTTTTTCTGAAAGCAGTGTTTTAATATCCCTCTATGTAGTGGAATAACTTAGTGTTTTTATAATTAGAGACAAGACACTGAACGATGTCTTGTTGAAGATGTTGAAGGCTCAGAAGTCTTCAGCACAAACATTGCCAAAAGTTGGTGCATATTCGATAATTTTATCAGATACACTTGAATGGTTGCAAGTCAACCAGCAAAATGTTATTGAGAAAAGTTGTTTACAATTGAAAATTATGCCTAAATACTGAAACATGGCCTCCCAAGTAATTTTTTTATTTTTTTCATTAATGATTTCTCAATTTGTATTTTTTTTGGGGCCCGCTTTTGTTCGTTATTTACATCAATGATTTTTACAACTATATGAAGCCATGTCACAGTGTACTATTTGCTGACAATACGTCCTTCATATACTCTTCTATGAATTATTCAGCTCTTGTTGATAAGTCTATGGAAATATAAGAAAAAGCGGAGCCCTGGTTCAGTGTCAACAAACTCATGATGAATAAGGAAAAAATCACAAAACATGATTGTTTCTATTGCTCTGTCATTACCTGAATTCCAGTGTGTCAAATTATTGGGTTTTACTCTGGACAATAGGCTAAATTGGTCAAGCCACATTTCAAGTTTGAAAAGTAAGCTATCGAGTGCCTTATTTTTACTTAGACAGCTGAAACCAATAACAAATTTCACTAAGTTGAAAATAGTATTTTGCTCGATATAAAATGAT